TTATTGAAATATTGCAATAACGGGGCAGCATTCTTTTCTGAAATATTCCATTCGTTTGTGTCGTGAAAATAGCAATATAATTCATGTTCTTTCAGATGTTGAAATGCAACTTAAAACTATTAGGGCAACGCTGCCATTGATATGTGTAATATTTTCAGTAATTAATTTATCGAAATTTAGAAGTAGTATATACTTTTATGCCATTTTTATTATCATTATTATACAATTATTGATGATTTCACATACTGAATGCTGTGGAAAGTAAATTAATAGCAAAAGTAAAGTAAATTGTAAAATTTCATTTCAAATAATAATTAGAAAATACTCCATGAAGGTCTTCTTCTCCTTAGGCAAATAGTTCTCAAGTGCTTTATGATTATATAATAATTCAATTCAATGCTGTTTCAATAACGTACAAATTATTGCGCATTACTCAATTATACATTTAAATGTTTCACGTTGTTAAAATAAATTGTAATTTATTATATTTTTTTCAAACGAAGGTTTTGATATGAAGAGATTAATATATTACTTTCAAAACAAATTTAATGTCTTCAGAATTATCTTTTACAGATAAGTGTGAATTTTTGGTAGATGGGTAATTTACAGGTTAAGAAACACTACAGCTCTTCTCTTTTCAAAAGCAAATCAAGTAAATCCTCAAACGAGTTCTGTGCTTTCAGATTTAATTCTCGATTAAGGATTTTAAAGAATTCCTAACCTGCATTTTATCTGCAATGTGAGAATATTTTGAAAATTTTGATGTGAAAAATTGGATAAATATTTATTTACTCATTAATTCAAGTAAAAATATTCATTCATTCCATTTCCTACCTCCATGAGTGAAAAAGTAATGAATTTCCATAAATTAAATGAAAAAAATTTCATTACATTTACGGCAGAAATTAACTGAAATATTTGGCCGCTTAATGTTTGAGCATTCGTGTATTCATAGCCTGTCGTAAAACTCCCCCCTTTTTTTCGGACTTTGAATTCATTCAAAGATCCCTAAGCCGAACGGGAAATCTCTCCTTTCCAAATGTGGTGCCATAAATTCTTTGCGTTTGCTGGACTAGAATGGCATTTCGACATGGGGTTGGGCAAAGTCCTTTCATGCCACAACTGCTCAAATTACGTCAATGATTTTGTGTCCTTAAGAAAGAAAAGCATGTATTCTGGAGTTAGCAATTAATACTTACGAATGATTCCCGCCTCCAGCTTATTAGTGTAGGGAAAAAAAAAAAAAAAAAAGAATCCGCCTTTAACTTTGCCATTTTGTAATGTCAATCGTGCTTCTAAATCCAAAATGTTTCTGTCCCTTACCTTGGCTCTTGGTGCGACTGCACAGGTTGCAAGTATCATCGTTTTTTACAATACATTCTATACATTCAAACATGAAGATTCTTCCTTATTTAATAATTTCTTTAAAAATAATACAGGGTAAAATTATTTGGTGGCAACAATTTGGAAAGTGATATGCCGTTTATAGCGAACCAACGAAATACATGTTATGTTAAATTCTAAGAATCATTCATATTAATAAATTCAATTTCAAATTGAATATTAGGACTGATTTTTGGACTCGCATTTAATGTAAAAGCTAGTAAGAGATTCAATATATGAACAAAATTAAACACTACGGAATGACATATTATGAAAATTACGAACTGCAAGTAATATACCACGATTTCTCTTAACTTGTAAAGTTCATTCCAAAGTACCAGAATCCGGCCTAGTTACTTCTTTGATTTATACTTGGAAAATATGTCTACTGATTATTCGATCATAAAGCGAATTATACAGAAACAAATTAACATATAAAATAAGTACTTCATAATAAATAGTTATAATTAATTTCCACTTCCACCGCTTTTTTATTTGGGATTGCAAAAGAAGAAACCTTTCCTTTAGGGGGGTCGATTTAATAATTTTCAGGTTTGAGACTAAGGAATAGAAAAGAAAGTTTCCTATTTTCTGCTCATTGCTATCCCTAAACTGGGGTAGGTCATGAAGTTATTTCATAGTCGAATGCTGAAATTTTAACTATTGCAAACACTTGAATTTAGCTGTTTCAGGTGCTTCCAAGAGCCCCCTATCTGTGTCATACAGAGAATTGCATCATTGCACCATATAGGTAAGGAGGCCCTTAAAAACTTAAAAAGAAAACAAATTCTATTATCTACATATACTTAAAGATTCTAAAGTTAGAGTAAAGTAAATTGGAGTGAAATCAAGGCTATTCTTCAACTATATTAATATTAACAATCGTGTAAAAGTGGTTTAACACAAAATTAAAACCTATCAAAATTAAAATAAGAATTTACAGTAGTACAAACTCTAAAAATAAAAATGAAAAGCAAAAAGGAAAAAAATACAGTCAAAAGTCTTTAATCCGGACTCGTCGGGACTTCGACGATTCCGAATTATCGATTTTTCCGGATTATAGATCATAAGTTTAAATCTGGTAAGATGGCATGCAGAAATTATAAAATTAAAAATATGAAAGCGTAATTTATAAAATAATGAGCAATTATGATCTAAAGGGTATCAAAATTTACAAAAAAATGAGCTTAATATTTATTTGTTTACTTTATTAAACATTTCTTTAAACGCGCGTATGCGTAAAGCATACCCTACGCATAGCCGGAATTACAAAATTGCAACCAGAAAACTATTTGATTTGTATTTGTGATATTTATAATGACGAGAAATTTGATTTAAATCATATCAAAGACGGAGTACATCGAGATTAAATACTACATTTAATAAGGAATTATAAGCCGAATAAAATAAAAACATTTGCCCTAAAGATAGGGATAGTGCCGACAGATCAACTTCCAGTTCATAGCGCGCCGCGCCGTCTCCCCCCCCCCCCCCGCAGAGCAGCGTGAAATTGATAAACAGATGTCGGAACGGTTAGATAAACAAAGGATATGCTTTTATCCATTTTTTGCATAGCAATTCCACTTTTTTGTTTGAATGGACATCGAAACGTACTTTCGTTTTGTAGATCCTTTGGACAGCTCCAGCAATCGGGAAATTCTATTTTGACATCATCGAAAGTTCAAGCGTTTACTTTTATAAAATTGCTCTTAACAGTCTGCAAAAAAAATAATAAGCCGGATCCAATTCGAAGATTAAGGAACAACGCAATCATCAACATTAACTGAAATAGATAATTATATAATTTTAGCTTATACCGTCCGTTTACATTAAACGCGCACGCGAAAAAAACGTATTCTGCGCTTGCGCAGACACATATGCGCAGTCGTAAATGTCTTGCGTGCACGCGTAAAACGCCTATGCGCATGCGTCAACGCGGCGCATGCGCAGAAAGATTTTAGCTTTGAGGTCCGGATTATAGATCATTCCGGATTATGGGTGTCCGAATTAACGACTTTTGACTGTACAAGATAAAAAATATAAAAATAATAATTAATCTTCTTTTATAGAAATTTTAATTCCGAACTCATCAAGGGAAAAAGGCTTAAAGCTTCTATATATATGTAATGGAATCCGCCTTAAAGTTTAAACACGTAAATGTAATTCAGTAGGACATTTAAAGGGCCCCCTAAGCCTTCGGGCCCCTATGCGACGGCATTCCTTGCATACCCTTATTTACGCCACTGTGTAGAAGTAACCTGTATAAGTATTGTGTTATATATCTTTCAACTTCAGTATTGATTGATTTGTAGACTTAAGTAGGTAAGTAACTCTTTTGTTTGACGTCACCATAATTTGTCATATTTCAATAGGCTTTCACCCTATTTTAATCTTGGATGGAAGGTGTGATGTATGGCTGAGCCAACCAACAAGATGTATAGAGGGCACTAGCTTTTAATCTGAAGGCGTCAAAAGTTTTAGTTTCCAAGAGGGAGACCGACAGAGAGGTCATAGGGAAGGCTCGTGGGAGCCATTAATGAAACCGAAATTCACTTTTATTACTTTATATATTTCAGTTATTAGTATTGTAGTTTATTATTAGTTTTGTGTTTGTGTAATAAATGTTAAAAATACAAGAAGGTGGAATTATTTCTCTATGAGGCGGTTGGATGAAGAGAGGAAAGATATCACAACAGGATTTCACTTTTTACTATTCCATATCTTTATTTTAATTTCAGAAGCAGATCAATATCCGTCACTACATAAGATTACTTTAAATTTATTTCATCATAGAGGAAAGGAAGATGGGAGCAGCAGCGTAGGTTCTAACAGCACAAGGAGAGGGAAGCTTCAGTTCACAAAATGGTGCGTATTCGTTACGTATACTAGTTGTTCTCGAAGGTACTGGTCTAGGGGGGAAATCCTAAATTGCAGAAAGTTAATTAGAGGTTGTCTGTTTGTGTAGAGCAAAGCCATCATATTTTTTTATATTTTACATATATGTGTGTGTGTGTGCGTGATGAAAAAGATGTAGCAATGTCGATGGCATAGAACGCAGATATACTGAACAGAGAACTTGGCAGCCGACTAAGATTAATTATTCAATTTTATTTCAATTGACATCTGCAGCCACAATTACTTGGCACTCTAATTGTGCCTATTCAAGAACATTGACTTCTTTGACATTGGTTGCGATGGGAAGAGAGGAGCATGAAATAGCGCATATATACATATATATATATTCAATATCTTAAAATTTTTACTGTGAAACTATACACTTACAATAGTTCATTTTGTTAAATATTAGCGGCAGAGACAATGCTTTGCAAAAAGGCTTTGAATGAGCTACTATATAAATAACTAACAGGCTAAGTAATTCCATCTATGGATACATATTGCTCACATCAGAATAACTGAAATTTTCATAGCATGTTTTTTAAAATTAGAAGAAACAAATTAAAAAAAAAACTAAATGATACTGAAATTCATGGGTCCATTATGTATTTACTTAAATAATTGCTACGAGAACTATCAAATGAAAAAGGAAAGAACTCCTTAATTCAAAATAGATTTATGTATCTATCTTAAAGTCATTAATAACATTCATCAGAACTAACTTCAACAGAATCCAGAGGGAGCTCCTTTATCTTCCCACAATGATTTTCTTGAGCAGTTCTAAGAAAATTTAAAAAAGAAAAAAAAAGCGGAATAAATATTTGATGACCATACTTACAACACTTAATATCTTTAAATATCTACAGATATTGTTATAAAGTACAACTTACAAACAAATAATTACAGTAATGACTGCAAGCACAGGCTCTTACAATATCCCCCTCCTTTTTGTTCTAAAGGATAGCTTCATGTACTTAGGTATTTAATACACACATAAGCATAAAAAATTCTGAAAGCTTTCAGATTTTACATTATGCCCAAAGATGCGTTTTTTTAACGTTTAGTGTGTTAACTTTATTTATCAAATATTATGTTCTTCGCACTTAAATCATAAAATTCAATTCAACAACAATATCGCAAAATAATTTTAAAATGAGCATCTGATACACATTCTCACACCCTGGAGATAAAATTGTATATAATTCTGTATACAGAATATGCAATTTTTTTCACATTTCTTTCAGCCTATGTGAATCCCCAAGGAAGTGCTTCAGATTTTAAATTCATGAATTATAAAAGCAATTAGATAAAATTTTGCATGTGAAATTTTGAAAATGTTATTGAGAAGGCATCTGATGGATTATAAGAAACAGCATGCAGTTGGAAGAATGGAAACAGGACAAACTGACAGATATCTGTAAAAACCTAAAAAAGGCAGGCAAAACCTGTCGTGTCAAGAATCTGGATAAGGTACTGCAGGCAGACAACCAGATTAGGGCAAATGATTCTCAGGACCATTATTCGAGAACAATCATTAAAAGAAATAAGAAAACTGATAGCAGTCCAGATTACAAGGGAATTCACAGCAGCTTCAAGAAATCAAAGTGGCTAGTAACAAACCACTTCAAGTTACAATATGTTTTAATAACTACTTCTTAGGTTTTTCCTGCCAGTGTACAGTAAACTGTGACACACAATTTTGATGTCATACGACACTGTCAACCGAAATTGACATAAACTGTCAATTGTCAGTTTCAAATTGCAATGTTGAAACTTGAGAACAGCATCAGCTGAAGAAATTTATTTTCGATGAAGAAAGAGGAGATGCAGAACCATATGAATCCTAAAGAAAAGGGCAATAAGTAAAATACATGTGAAAAACACATCTCAAGAAAAAGAAGTAGAAGTAACAGAAAAAAAAAATCTGATGTGTACACCACATGACTTCCTCGTACGGAATATTAAATTATATGCATTTTTTCTTGCATTTCATTTAAACTTATGAGATTGAATTAAACCTACTTCGCCGACACTGCATAAACAATAGAAATAAATAGAATAAATGCATTCTTTATTCCACAATAGAATAAATGCATTCTTTAAAATTCACTTTGTTTACCATAGCGACACTCTGGCGCTTTACTTAACAGTATTATATTTCGTTCATATTATAACTCAGAATGCACAAAATTTACATCATTTAAAGAATTATCTAATCATTGCCACATGTTCTATTCATCTATTCAAATACTATAATAAAGCTAGAACTATATACAAAAGAAATTAAGCAAACAAAACAAAAAAGAAACAGTTTTTCACAGAAGATTGTGTATTTCTCATTCAATTAATTCAGTTTTCACTTTGCGACAAGGCAAATTTTATTTATTTTGAGTTTTTATGTATTTTTATACATAAAAACTCAAAATATCTGTATTAAAAATTACGAAGTAAATCTTAAACGCTTATTTCCTCGAAAAAATTCCAGAAAGGATTAAGCCTGATTTAAATAATAAATGAAGGCATTATCTTTGTTGTTGCGAAGCTAAGTTTCTCTAGATTGGCAACAAATCCGCTACTCAGCTGTTTCAAATGTAAACAAGAGCAATGGCCGCCATCAAATTAGGCTTAGCGGCACTTAAACAATTTTAAAAATTGTTGATAATTCTAAAAATATTGCATACAGATTTACTAAAGGCATAAAAAACTTAACCGAAGTTAAAAACAAACTTAATTCAATCATTTTTAAAGCAAAAAATGTACAATTACAAACATATAAGAGTAAAGAAACTGAGATCACTGAGCCGGGTAACAGAGTGGATATATTTATAAATGTATTTATATACCTTTGGCGCGGCTGATTGAAACCAAAATACGAGGTGCACGTCTACATGTTATAGTAATCTTATATACAAAATTTCAACATTCTGAGGCTACTCATTTTTGAATTATGTGAGATACGTACGTACGTACATACGTTCATACAGACGCCACGAAAAATTCTCTTCAGAATTCATTTTAAAGCAGTTTTTTAGTTTTTTTTTGGAGGAAAAGAGTCTTATTCGTCCTTACATACAGATATCACGCAAAAACATTGTCAAATTGCATTCGAAAGCGGTCAAAGTGGATATTTTCGTTGAAATATGCTGCCTGAAGCTTTTCGCGATTACAACACTTCCTTTTTACTTCGTACAAGGAAGTAAAAAAAAAAAAAGTTACTTGAAGCATGATTTAGATGACACTTCTTTTAAGCCCATTTACTACTCTCCATACGGCAATGGTCAATATTGGTTAAGATATTAAATAGACAAAACTCTACTAAAGTTTTTCATAAACAAACTTTTATTTTTGCAAATGTATTCTCAAAATATTAATAAATAAATAAAAATAAATAACCGAGAAGTACAAACAAAAGCAATTAATATTTTATAACACACTACATTTAAAATTCAATTAAAAGGCATACTCTATTCAAACATAAATTATTGATTCCTTGATAACTAAATTGAGGTTTGAATGCAACTGTTCATAACTATGCCACATGGACTGGTATCATTCTTCTTTGGTAGCAAAACAAACTTTAACAAATCCAATTTTCTCACACAGTGCTATACGTTTTTATGTTAATTAAACAGTTATTCTGATCTGTACCTTTACTACAACTTCTTCTTTCCACAGTCCTTAAAAGAATATAAATTAGTTTTGTGTGTATTTAAGCTAAGGGTTTTGGTGTTTTATAGCTTATGGCAGCTTTGCTTTGCAGTTATGTATTATCTCTTGCTCTGTTGAAGTTATTCTGGCATCTTGCCAGTCGACGTTTAAAAAAGTATGCACCATTAACTTATCTTGACCCATTTTTAAGTATCCAGTTGAGTGCGTAGTCTAACTACATTACTTACATTTGAATTTAATTTTATCTTTCTTTAATTTAAATACCAATAAGTCAAGGTTATTCATCTGTAGCACAACAGTGCCTTCTGTTTGTTTAAACAGTTAATTAAAAAGGTTAATTTTAACTCTAAGATTTGGTCATTTGTTTCTGACTAAAGCGATAATTTGCTTCCAGTCTAAGGGTCTGCAGGTCACTGACACAAGCTTATAGACATAGCAGAACCATATAGTATAAACAATTACACTTGCTTCCAGATGTTAGAAAATGGCATATAAAGCAAATTTCTTTTCAAATAGAGTGTAACCACACACAGACAAATATTATAAATAGATTAAGCAACATGCTTTTAATATATCTAATATTTGTCTGCTGAAAATAATATGTAATACTGAATACATTAATGCTGGTAAAATTCTTTTCAAAAACCATATTACCTTAATTGCTTTAAATCTTTGCAACTACTGCAATTTGCAACTACTTGCAATACTTACAATTCAATGTGTTCATTATCTTCCAGATTTCTCATCTGAAAATCTAAATCTTCTAAAAATAAAGAAACAGCATATGTAAGTACACACACATAAAGCAAAAGAAATTAATATATTTCAATTCCATTCCATATTAAATTCAGAACAAACCTTATGTAGTAATAAAAAACCAGAAGCATAGTGATAAATTGCACGAAAGATGTAAAGAAATGTTAAAAGCAAAAATGAAATAGGAAAAAAGTAATTTACATCTTTTATTACATTGTCATCTGGTGTTGGGGCAAATAAAAGAAGAAAATACATCAGCTTGTTTCTGAACTAACAACATCACTGAACTAAATTAAAAATTAGTGCATAACACTTAAAATAATCTCAGAAAATTAAATCAAAATAGTTTGTGCCTTTATCAGCCCAAACCAATGAATGGGCTCCAAATTAAATACGGAATGAATTTTAAATGCATTAATAATTTAATTTATTTTGCATTCTTATCACCACTTTTTGATGCATGAGTATGCAGCTGGATGAAGTTTTGAATTGCTTTTTACATTGTAGTTATTCATTTATATATACACATATATATGTAAAAAAGTGCTAAAGTATCTAACGCCAAGGATAAACCAAAACTGATTTGACGTAAAAACTTGGAAAATATAACTAAAATAAAAGCTAGATTCCTCCCAATTTATTTTTATTTATTTTATTTGGAATTAGATTAGTTCCTTATTTACTGTTACCTGTTTACAGTGGAACCTTGAGATACGAGCAGCTCTATATATGAGAAATTCGAGATATGACGAAAGTACGAGCAAAAAGTGTGTCTCTAAAATACAAAAATTGACTCGAGTAACAAGCAATGAGCCAGCCTGTTGGTATGCATGCCACCATTTCCCGATCTGACTTGGCTCGGGGAATCCCCTTGTCAGATCACTCGGTGTTCTTTGATCTACGTATTTGTGCACTTGTGAGTCAATTGTTTATTACATTTTACTCGAAAATAATTACTTCCCGATGTCTCCCAAGAAAAGTGTTGCTTCAGACAGTGCTGCAAAGAAAAATAAGGAAGCCATGCCCGTTGAAATTACGAAAAAATCATAGATAAACAAACATGGTGTAAGAGTGATGGAATTGGCAAAGACTTACGGCCTTTCGACATTGATGATTTGCACTATTCTGAAGAAACAGAAAGAAACTTGATGTAGACAAAGGAATTACTGTTACTTCCAAGTACCATCCAAAACTCTTAGAAGATGCTAAGAAGCTGTTGTTTGATGGATTAACGAGAAGCAATTAAAATATCTGTGTTGGAATAAAGGTAAACTGTGGTTTATTATTTACCACTTAAATGGATGGATTAACTGGATTTCCATTATTTTTAATGGGAATTTTTGTTTCTAGATATGAGAAATTCACTATATGAGCTCAATGCTGGAACCAATTAATCTCGTATCTCGAGGTTCCACTGTACTTTGTTTTCGAAGTTATTGCTTCAAACTAATTTATGCCCCTGGGTTGGACAGTTTACCATTTAATTTTTTTCATCTATATATATACAGCACATCCTGTTTATTAAATTCAATGACTGATAAACTAAGCAGCACCTACACAAATGTATATCGATGTATCTCAAAACACAGTTAAAAACTGCTTTAGAAAATCTGGCTTTTGTTTACAGTCACATTTATGAAAAGCACCACAGGAACTGTAAGTTATAGCTAAAGTTTTGAACATCAGCAAAGGAAGTCACGAAGTCATTTTTAGTATACATTACAATTGACAGAAGTATTGTCGTTGCTACATATTATAATGTGTTAAAAATTGGACTATGATATTATTTGTGTTTAAGTTTTACTATTATTTAATTTACATCTTTTCTACTAGCCTTACTTTGCCACAAAGTCGTTCACTCCAGATTTATGTAGATCTGAGTGGCAAGCAGTTTAACTACAAAGTTAGATAATTTGCAGATAGCTGGATGTGAAAACTTTGGCCTGCTCAATATCACTGCTTTGCCATGAAAAGCTTTGTTCTTTGTTTTTGCCATGAAAAGTTTGAGGAGTTCCAACTGGTGTTAAAAACTAAATACAGTCAAATACCGAAAATCCGCCGACCTGAAATCCGCGTTGCCTCTCAAAATAAAAACATTCAGTTTATATGTTCCGGAAACCACAACATTGAGTACAAAATATCAAAGAAAAAATACCGAATAATGACGTCATAATTACTGAATAATAATGAGTCATAACGGAAATACCAAATTATTGACATCATGATAAAAGTTTTTTTCCCTCTAATCTGCATTGAGGTAAAAAAGCAGACGATTCACTCAAGTCTTCTTTCAAGTTCACGATTCAAGTTGTTGTATTTTCTGAGTTTTGTTATTTCACGAGATTATTTAGTGCTGCCTTTTTTTTTTTTTTTTTTTATCTGGATATTTTGTGGATAAATTAAGAGTATATTAAATCTCAGCCCTTTTTAATACGACAGATAAGAAACACACTCATGATTTTACTGCTTGCAACGCTGAAAAACGTAAAGACGTTGCATTGACGGTAATACAAAAAGTGCAAATTCTGCAAAAGATGGAGGCAGGTTCCACTTCTCGCTTTAGAGCAGAATCCTATGGAATTGCGACACGATTGTGTATTATACACGTAAAAATAAAGAAAAGCTCTTGAAATTTTACAGCAACAGTGAGACTAACACCGGAATGTGAAACCGGAAATCTTTGCATGAAGCGAAAACGGCAAACCTCGATGCTGTGTACATATTACAATGAATATATAATCAATTTATATATGTATAATAATTTAATGCATATAATAAATTATTGCAATAATGTATATAATAATTTAATTAAATGTGTCTAATACGCCTTATTTATTATTTTGCACTTTGAGTTTGAATATTATGATTTATCTTTTTTGTCCTAAAATCCGCACAACCTCTGGTCCCAAGCCTTGCAGATTTCTGGACTTCTACTGTATTACAATACAAAGATAAAATTAGGATAAGTTATCAGTTAGAATCTCTATCGAGGTCTTAGACAGAGCTTGCAACCTTTGTCAGGATAGATTAAATTGTTTGAGTTTGTAAGTCTAAAAAAAAGTTGTGCTTAAGCCAGAACCAGGTGACTGGTGATTTTGAGTTCTATAATCTTTGTTTAACCCTCACAAAATGTGAGGTAGAATAAATTTAAAGAGAATGCATTTCTAGTGGTGATAATTCACCCCCACCCAAATAATCTACATAGCACCTTAATTTTAGTGTAAGTGAGCTAGCTAAGTTTAATTGAACCCAAGATAGGTATTATAATAGAAAATGCTAAAAATGCTGCTGAAACTCAAATTCCCAGTGAAAGTGGCGCAGAATAAAGTGACAACATGCTATTCTCAATCAAAAGTAGAAAAAAAAAAACCACTGCATATTTTAAGAAAAACTCTAAAAATAATATAAAACAAACACAAATACATCAGTCCTTTGTAATAATTTAAAATTTCATCATATCATGTTCATAATTATAAAAAAGTATAAAACTTTGAAAATGAGTAAATAATTTACCATTACGTTTAAAGATATTACAATTTGCAATACACTAATCTCCATCTGTTAAACTTAGTTTCTGAATATAATGAAATATGACTAGAACAGAAGTGATTTTAATAAGCAGTACATACTGTACCTATATATGGACGATATATAAATAGTTCCATCTTTAACCTTCTAAGTGACATGACCAGCTATACCAAGTCATGAAATTTTTTGCCACTTGGTACATGTTAGCTTATAATGCAATATACTTTGTTTTCAGACTTTCTTTAATAATGTAAATATCATCTTAATGAATGTAAGTTTATGAAAATAGAGACTACAATAAGTAATTATACAAATTTAGCTAATAAATTCTGTTTAAATACAGTTCTTTATGACAGATAAAAAAACCTATGCTGCTCAGAAGGTTAGGATAATTTATGACTTAGCAAATTTAAAGTTATGCACAATTTAATATCAATTATAGTACTAATTTGATAAAACACTATGATTAATGCAGCAACAGAATCATTCTCCAAAAATATCCCACCATCTTGCCACAATGCCATTTAATATACTGAATCAGAACTTTATTTATGTCTTGAGAATTCCCCCCCCCAAGAAAGTCTGTAACGTCATTCTTATTATTTTAAAAGTATGTACTAATTTGCAAGCTGCATTGTTCTATCAGTTACAAGGTTACTTATTTTAAACTGCCTTTAGATTCATGAACATTTTAATTTTTAAACTAATTAAACATTGCAATTAAACATATATCTATATTTTAAACTTTGAATCGTATAATCATGACTTACAAATAATTCATAAAATGTTGAATTTCATCTGACAGTTGATTTTTGCAAAACTAAGAAAATCTTTCAACCAACCATGAATAATGAAATAAAGATATATGATTAAAAAAAAATATTAGCTTTTTCACATACTGTACCTTTGTTGTTTCTTTCATAATGGCATCTACATTTTATTAATCATTTATATTTCTTATTTTACGATCGAGTACTATATACAATTCTTATTTTAAGATCAAGAAAAATAAGCCTCATATGTTTCAGCATTTTTAGTGTAGAAAGACAGGCACAGTCTATTTCCATCTCACTATTAAAAAATTGCTTCTGTTTAGCAGTGAGCTTATTTAATTAATATTAAATCTGAAGTCACTATGTAACTAATAAATGTATTCTCTGAAACTTAAGACAATTCATCTTATTAAGGAATGCTGATGTATTAAATTAAGGAATGCTTGATGTAAAGTTTTCAGTTCAAGTCTACTGTTTACAATTCATATTCAATGACTTTTTTCTTCTGTAAGTTTTTTTTAGTACTTTTCATAATAAAGTAAAAAAAAATAAAAATTGCCTTGATATGTCAAATAAATAAAGCATGAAATACAAAGAATGAAAGCGTTGTTGAACTTTTATTCTTTGTATTTCATGCTTGTTGAGAAACATACTACTATTTACATTACGATGTCCAGTGGAAGGGGATTTCTTATTGAAACCAAATAAAACGCTACAGCTACTAGTTTATCTATAAGGATAAAGAAAGGCTGTTTGCACATTTTTTTAGATGATTTTATTTTGCTATTAAAAAAAAATCATCTGCTCGGATTTTTTTTTTTTTTTTAACAGCAACTACATTTTTGAAAGTATAAATTAGCTTCTGCTACTTGGCAGTTTTGTTTTCATGCAAAATGGCACAACAAAGCAGTGAGTAGAAGGCTATGTCTGTGCTTTTCCCAAAGAAATTTATTTCTATCTAGTTATTAAAAAACACTGCAAAAGCCATGGGTTTTCAATATCTAAAGCCACAATAGGTAATAATGTCAACAAGAAAAAGGGGAGGTCAAAGTTTAGTTTCAAGTGAAAAAATTGTTTGAAATACATATACAAGGAAAAAACAGAATGTTGCAAAGGTAAGATCTTTAATGTTAAAAGAAAATCTTCTAAGTCAAAGGACAGTTGCCCCAAGTTCATTAAAATGCTCAATATCAAGTGTAAACATAGTGATTAATGCTGATTTGAATCTTAAGAGCCAAAAAAACATAATGTACATTATCTTTCCCCACTATATATCGTGAACACAGGATGACACGCTGCAGAATTTTTTAGAAACATTTAGAGATAAAAATGGACACATTTTTTCACAATAAACGAATCCTTGGTGTATTTGACTGCAATAAAAAGAGATCCATATAGTTTCATTAAAGAGGAGAAAAAATTCTCAATAGATGGTTCAAAGAATCTAAAGAAAGTTTTTGAAAGAGATTTAAGATTGTTGCTATTTTTCATATGATGGCAAATTAAAAATAAAGGGACTGGACAAAAATGTAACGTTCAAATTCAAATACTATCAGGAACATATTTTATACCCAATTTTCAGATACGAAATACCTTCTCTTTACCCACAGTGCCTTCAACCTGCATCAATACGAAGCAAGCAGCCACATGTCAAAATCCACTGTTAACTTCCTGGAAAAAGATGGAACAAGAAATGGGTTTCAATGCCATATCCTTACTAAATCTCCCAATGTATCTCCCATTTTTGTTCTTCTGGACTTCTAAAAAGTGGATTGTCATAACATAGACCTACAACCCTCCTTGGACTTTGGAAAACTGTTCAAGAGGAATGGAAATAAAATACCTCTTCCAATACTACAAAAGGCTTTATTATTGTCTTTGAAATTTCAGTGTAGAAAGATAATGAATGAAGAATAAGGGTTACCATATAGAACATTTGAAGCAGAAAATTTTTAGATTAAGTATTTCTGTAAATACAATGAAAATCGTCTAAAAAAATGTGCATAGTTGGAATACAATTTTTTAAATTCTTTTATAACACATTTTTAGACATTACAAAAAAAGTAGCTTTAAGACATAAAAGGAAAGAGCTTTCATGCTGGCTTATGAAAAGAAAATATACTGCTATGTTTGTTTCCAACTGAGACACTTCTTTTCTGAAACTTAAGATGAGAGAACCGTAAAATAAGGAGAATTTACAAGTAAATATTCCATACACAATGAAATTAAGAAATAAAAAAAAATATTCTGCATCATGTCAAGCCTTACATGTTTACCAGTTAAATGTGAAAGTAAGAACTTAATGCCACAATTATATATGACAGGCCAAAAATAATAAGTAGCATTAATAAAAATAAATTGATGATGCAATATCTTTCTCCATAACATAACAATGCTATATTTTAACATTAAAATAATTTCAATGTTTTTATTTTACAAATACCTGCATCTGTTTTTAGCGTCTGAAGAACTTCAAATTGGTCACAAGATCTATTGTTGCATTTTTCTAGTCCGTACTCTGCAAGTTGGCATACTTGTTGGAAGAAATTTTGGTGATAAAGGGAAGAGCACAGCTTAGAATATGCCTAATAAGAAAAATGTTGAAATATTTTAAGGACAAATTAAGAATTAACAGCAAAAACTGAAAATTAGTTAACAATGTAACAAACATAGCACATTTTGCATGTCATATATTATATGTGTGATATTTATACACATTACAGTGTGCAAATGTAAACTTAATACTTCTAATATAACAAGTAGTCCATAACAGTGGCTCATTAAAACCAGAATCAAAATATTCAAAAATCATGAAAATGAATGAAAAAAAGATTTCAAAACAGTAGCACACTTGATGTATATTCGAGAGGTACAGGATTCAAGTCCTGGTGAGAGCATTGCGGATTTCTTCAGCTTCCTGAAACTGAAAAATCCTAATGACCCTACAGTGGCAGCCAAACTAAAAGGTAGCGGACAATAATTCATCACCAACAGGGTTTGACAATTAGGTCCCCTAATTTCCAATCTCTTTTTAACCCATCGAGGACCAACGTCCTGTAGGTATGATGCAACGATTCTACTCTTACCATCCCAGCGCGTAATTTGAAAACTGAATGGTTTATTTGAATTTTTAAATGCCAGCAGATGGTGATAAATGGTTTTTACAAAGGTTAAGTCATGTGGTTTTTGATACTCATGTATGAGCATTAGTTTCTGTTCTATGCTTCTGGTTTTGATAGATTTATTGTGGTGTAAACAAACTGGGAATCACAGCTTTTAAGTTTAAAGGGACAAAAGCATTTTTGTTAATTTCGTTTAATTCTCGTTTTCATTTTTATTCTTTATGTTTTTCGTTTTTAAAATGTAGGGAAGTGCATCCAGCTCAATGTTTTTATTAACCAAAAGGGCTATTAATTTCATTTTGGCATTTTGTGTCGAAAACTTTAAATGTCTGTTTCACTTTTCAAATTACTGCTACCAAATATTATCGCGCTGTGTTATATTTAACCATTTCACTGCTATGTGGTGCAAAAGTGCTGCATTCTTTTGTCTCGAAAACCACGACACAGTTAGTTATTTTAGAATGCATACTCGTATGACAAAGTACGCGTGAGGTCAGACTACGTTCACACCCACGGAGCAACAAAGACGCACTGAAACTCGCAGCGCTTACGGTTAAGGAACTAAACAATAAATGTACATATGTTTCTTGCATTGTGATAAAACAACGGTGCCTACAGTCATCAAATTTTGTATAATGTAATCCTCTGCATGCTAGCCCTCAAAGGGTTAAAAGGGAGAATATTTAAGGTATTTTTTCCCCTTCTTCCAGCATGCCTTCGTAGTGTAATGGTAGCACATTCATCTATTTAAAATATTGCCTTTATTCCAAAGCTATAATATTTATCAAGAAAAATCAGCATAAAGTTCATAAACCATTGAATCAAAATTTTGCAGATGAATTTAATTCAAAATCACCATGATGCCAATATGGTACCGAACTTGATAATTCACAGCAACGGAGGAAGACAGGATTTTCATGTGTACAACAAAAACATTCACACTGCAGAAAGAGGAAGCAAATATCTACCTAATATCAGTGATTTTCAACCAATATGATGTGGCACTTTTAACATGTTGCCAAATTTTATGAATCCAAGCACTAAAAATTATTTTGTATGTATTTTATACATAGTGCAACTATCTTCATGTAATACAAGATTTTTTCCTTATATGATGCATGTATGATTTGCCTACACCTTTTTATGTCACACTGTGATTGCCCATATATAAGCAACATCAGATAAGTAGTTCAGCTGGTTGAGTTTCTAGTGGGGATTGGCTGATTCAGTCCCAACGCAAATCATTTAGAAGAACATATTAATTTGTTTCCGATTAATCTTATATACGATTATCCAATTACACAAAAAGCTTTAAGTGTGTTAATATGAAAAAATGCATTTTCATTTTTATGCCCAAATAAAAATGAAGTTATCTAAAATGCTCAAGATCAAATTTTGCATTAAATGTAATTTGTAGTTTACCATTAAATAAATATTTTGTTTACTTTGTAATGCAATTTTTTTCATATTTTATTGAAATTATAGTATGCTATTTTTATAAAATACTTTACAGGAATATAAATCAATTAACCAAGACAAATTCTTTTAAATTTTATCTTATTGTAAATGTGCCAACAAATTTTTAAATTATTAAAAGTGTAGTAAAAGTAAATGGAGAAAAGATCTAGAATCACTGATCTATAATGACCAGTCTTTACTTTTCTGAACAAATGCACTAGATGACCCATTTATACCTAATGTCATCAAAATGGGAGCAGCTGAAGTCTCCACATTAACACGCAGCCTTGTCTAGAATTAGACAAGGCTGCGTGTTTATGTGGAATAGAATATCAGCAGACTTTTTCAGAGCATCCTCTCCTTCTCCCAATGCCTTTTTCTTATGTACTTACCTTCATAGCCTTCAAGAGTCTGTACAGACTCTTGAATTTCCAGACTCCTTGAGAACAGTGGGTGGAGGCATCATCATTGAAAATTCTGCTCCTGCTTTCAAAGTTAGGATTTCATCACAGTAACTCAAAGCAGGGTTGCATGGTCAAAGACAAAGAGTTAAAAAAAAGGCAGACAGATAATATTCTTACTGATGATGCCTGATTTGAAAAGACAGTTGAACAGCCAATCAAGTACTCTGCAACATTTATTCAGGAGTGAGTGCTTGTTCCTCACTGTTTACATCAGTCTGCAATTAGTTCATCACAAACTGCATCATTTGAATTCTGTACTTATGTAAAACACTAATTCATACTCCAAATGAGAGTCACAGAAAACAGAATGAAAAAAAGAAAGTTTGGTTTAAAGTTAATGTTTTCTATGGATCAAAATTCATTAAAAAAAAAACTCAGGATCACAAGAACTCTGTAATATAAGGCATTCCTACATGTGCAGGAAAAAAAACTTCATTAATAAAATTAATACCCCTTTTATCATCAAAATATGTCATTAATATAGTGTACTTTTGTTAAAAAATTCATTGCCAAATATGTATAATGTCACATACTTTATATTACTTACTTTTATAGTATCACATACTTTTAAATTGCATATAATACAAACTGCCAATAAATTAGCTGCCATATTCAATTTCCCAAGAACTGAAGTTTTTTTTGTTTACATTAAAATATCTGCACAGATTACAAAGACATCTCCAAATAAAGCATTCCCATATTATCAGAATTAATTTTATTTTGTAATAAGTGAAATATTTAATAAAAAAAATATTATGAATAGCGATAACAGTATTAAAAAATCTATCTGTTATATTAAAATTTAACAGTAAACAATTTGGGTAAAAGCTTCAGATTAAAATAGTGCAATTTACATACTTATTACATACTTTGCAATAATTTGGATCAATGACAAGAGCAAGGTAACTGTCTAATTCAGCTTTCTTATATTTTTTCAGCTGAATGTAGGCTTGGGCTCGACTAGTGCGCACTTTTTTGCAGTATGGGCTATAGAAAAAATACAAAATGGAAATTTAAAAAAATCTTATAAAAATATACAAAAGAGTATTATAATTATTATAATATAGTTATTTATAATTTTCATTAAAAATAATATATCTTAATGATTATAGAAATGGGTAAATTCAAATAAATATTTTAGCATTACTTTCAATTCACATATTTTAACAAGTCATATTTCAAATATGCTACTTCCTTAAAACAACAAAAATATAATATGCTAACTTTCCTTGCAGCTTTTGTAGATTGCTTGCCTAGATACCAAGTGGAAGTTGAATGCAGTGTTGTTTCTTTTTTCTCTTCATGCGTGCATTATCTTCAACACAATATTTGAGGATTAAACAACACAGAAACTCAGCCAAAGATTCAGAGAATGAAATAATAATAAAACCTGAAAATTTCAGGTTTCAATCTAGCAACTCAAAAGAGATTTCATTCAGCTCTTTCTAAAAATTAAAAATGTGGGTGTATGTACGCATATATTTAATAGGCTGGCGAAGTTTAAGCATAGATTAGACTGTCAATTATAAACTTTAATATTTTAGGATGTGGAGAGGGAGGAGATATAAATACTTTCCAATCATGGCTGATGGTTGTAGAGGATGCCAGAATGAATGCATAGCAAAAGGATGAAACTTGCAGACAAATGTAGCTGTAGATATAATTTTATTTCTGGACAAGATAATTAGGATGCATATTCTTCTTCACACATCATTATGGGCAGAATATGCACCCCACAATTTTTTTGGAAACTTCGCATATCTTAATGCAATGGACAGCGGCTAAGTGTTAGAAGGACGGAAGCAGGTGAGAAAGTGCTTGATGCAACGTGGGAGAGAGTCAAAGCAATTTTGGTTTCACATGAATCCTATTCAGAGAATGGGCTGAAAGGTATTTGCATTGCAGCATCATGCAAGATCATATAATACGGATTTATTTTGAAATGATGCAGTTTAGATCGATATATTAGGAACAGTTAGTATTTAAGACAGGAATGGGAAGTATCCAAATTAAAATGAGAAATAAAAAGGACTATTGCCAATTAAAATTATGAGTTTGCATTATATATTTTTAAGCTATATGTACAGGATGGGCAAGAATTAATTCCCCAGTGAAAATTGTTTAAAACTTTTTAAATATTTAATTTTCATGAAACGAAAAACATTCTTTCCCTTACAATGGGAGAATTTATTAAGTGATATCTCATTGAAGTCACTGCAAGCATCAATAGTGGACCATGGCATAACATCTAATCTAGCATAGTATAAGCGAGCTCAGCTGGCAATCCTGTACCAAGTATGGTGGTCTGTGGTACAAGTAGAGAGATGGTAGCAAAGTGTGAAAGGAGCTCATGCCTCGATAGATGCAAAGACATAAGGAATTGCCACTCAAAGCTAATGGACCCAGGCTCTATATCAATTTTTAGGATATGCAAATGTTGCTCAACATCCAGGAGAAAGGAAAACATGCAAATTATTCAGGAAATGAAATTTCACTCAAAGTCCTCAGATATCACAGGCAGGCATCTTGTGAAAGTGGTTTGACTGCCACACAATCTGAACTAGGATGCCAGCTGAGTCAGCTCATGCAAGGCTAGTTGTACTATGGTCTGCCACTGATACCTGCAAAGATGAGATACCATAAAGATAAATTCTACCACTGCAAGAACAAAAATGTCTTGTTTCACGAAACTTTTTAAGTATTTAAGAAGTAATAAATTTTCATTAGGGAGTTAATTCTCACCCGTCTTGTATATATACATAAAATTTATAAAAATATTTCACTTCCTTATTATATGAAAATATGTACTATTGCCAAGTTATAATCCAGATTTTTATTGCAGAATGAAATTTTAAACTAAAAAAAAGTGGGGGGTTTAATAGCTCCAACATGTATTTCTGCATTTATATATGAATGTGAAATGGTATAAATAAACCAATTTACATCAATGTATTAGATATCAATATATTAGAAAAGTATATTATTGTTGAATTAAAATATAACCCTCCCTTCAGATACTTAAATACAGGGAGATTCTAAATTGTTTTTGTAAATTAAGAGAGGTGATAGTACTCATCCAGATGAGCAATAATTATCGTAGAACATAAGGTCACATTCCACTCTAAGAGGCAGAAAAGAGGAATATTAGAATTTCAACCTAAACTTACAACAGTGTTGGGAGACCTAATGAACAAGAACAAATGTTGCACAATCAGTTTAATGAGAAACTCATAGAAAGTGCACAAAACGAATAAAACTGAAAACTTGGCGTTCAAGCGTTAATTCGAACTCAGACTTTGATGGCAAACACTCAAATGCACATCTTTGGTTGGTAAGGTCTTAACCTTGCAAATGATTGCAACAAGTTAATTATCTAAATTATTAGGGGAGAAAACTAAACTGATATCAAGTATCAAGGTAGCAGTTTTTTTCCTCTTAGCCATCTTCTATCCTGTCCTCCTGGACTTACAGTGCTGCGCTCATTTTACTTGAAATGCCCTTCTATGGAACAAGAAGTTCTGACAACCGGAGCATGAACTTTTCATGCTTATCTCGGCATGCAGCTGAAGTTGGAGTTAGTTGATAATATTCAGCCCTTGATTAGATAATTAACTTGTTGCAATCGTTTGCAAGGTTGAGACCTTGCCAACCAAAGATGTGCATTTGAGTGTTTGCCATCAAAGTCTGAGCTCGAATTGACACTCGAATGCCAAATTGAGGTAGCAGTTTTTTTCCTCTTAGACATCTTCTATCCTGTCCTCCTGGACTTAAAGTGCTGCGCTCATTTTACTTGAAATGCCCTTCTATGGAACAAGAAGTTCTGACAACCGGAGCATAAACTTTTCATGCTTATCTCAGCATGCAGCGGAAGTTGGAGTTAGTTGATAATATTCAGCCCTTGATTAGATAATTAACTTGTTGCAATCGTTTGCAAGGTTGCGACCTTGCCAACCAAAGATATGCATTTGAGTGTTTGCTAAAGTCTGAGCTCGAATTGACACTCGAATGCCAAATTTTCGGCACTGTTGCAAGTTCAGGTTGGAATTCTAATATTCCTCTTTTCTGCCTCTCAGAGTGGAATGTGATGCTATGTTCTATGGTAATTATTGCTTACCTCGATTAGTACTATTACCACTCTTGTTGTAAAAATAATTTAGAATCACTCTGTATATCATTACATCAAAGTATATTACTGTCTGAATAAAACTATAAATTTATATGTAGAAAGAAATGCTTGCAATTTGTATGCTTTGACAAAATTTCATCATAACCATCATATTTTATTTTGAATGCAGAGGTCAGTGTGCACAAGAACTAAAGCAAGAAATTTTGCAATCCATTTGTTATAAGAGTATTTTAGTACATCATCTGCATGCCGATGAAAAGTAATCAAATGAATGACATGAACTGATGAAAAACATTTTTCTGGCTATCTTTACAGATTTACAGTACTATTTTCTTTCCTAACATATGGGAGGAAGAAGAAAAAAAAAAAAAAAAAAAGTCTCCCCCAACCCCATTTTTTTGCATACATATTCATATATCTACTCTAGTTTAAACAAAGGACATGAACATTTGTAATTACACTAGATGACAGTTTTTGCATGTTAATCCCAATTTTTCTTCACAGAATTTCATTGATGTGTATGCCTTTATTAAACAATAAAGTGAATAGTTGTTGTAAATGAGATACGATTATCTTTCAGCCAATTTTCAAGCCAAAGTCTAATACTCTGCTGGCAATTTTTGGAAGAACTTTGGTTGTTTACGAATTACAACTGTACAAAATGGAAATTTTCATATTCCTTATTTGTTAGGTACCCCTCGTTCTGAAGGAATCCATTGCTTTCTTTCTCATAAATCAGTGAAAAGGGATAGTGATTTAAAAAATTACTATTAAATATAAAATGTGTAATTCCATGTATCCTGAAACGCATGTGAGGTATATTTATGCATGGGTTAGCTATTGCTATCATGTATATTCAAATGGCAGTTCTAGTAAACGTTGAAACCAAAAGTGCAAATATCAGAAAATATGCTAACACTCATAATATAAAGCATTATTTGTTGCAAAATGTTAAGATATGCAGATGAAATGCCTTTTAAATTACTTGCTTTGTTACACTGATGAGCCATGCATTTTCATAATAGTGAAAATTAAACAAAATTTCTTATCTCTCAAGTTTGATCTTTATTTGTAACAGACAGAATTTTATCTCTAACTGAAAACATGCAAATGTTGCAGAAACTTAAAAATGTAGTGTCTAATGTATGAAGTGTAAAGAATTTGATTTTAATAACTTAAAAATAACTGTAATATTTCACAAGGCAAAACTTTATGAAAATATTTTCTTGGCCTAAAGGCAATTGAAAGAAAAGAATTCTTTAAAACAGGCAACTTCCAACAGAATGCTTTTTCCTTTAGTGACAAAAAAATGTTTTGCTTATTTTATTTCATCTAGAAGAACAGCTCCTGACTTGTGGTATGCAGTGGCTTACTCGGGTGCATGAAAAATTTAACAGTAATGGAAGAAGACAACAAAGTATCACAATGAATTGATAAAAAAAGTGTTAAATAAAATGCGTAAGAGTTTTGAAAGTAGAAACCCCAGTTCTCTTTGAATAATACTATATGTGTAATTATGAAATCTGAATTTTTATATAGAAAATAGACATATATTGTATGAAAATGATAAAAGTACTTTATTTGAACTATTGTTCATTGCTAGCTATAAATTTTCTCCATCTCCCTGTCAATTTATGAATGCCACTCAAGAATAAAAAAAAAAAAGCTGTTGCTCTTTTGGTGTCAAATCCGTCGTGAAGCCATTTTTGCACATTTTCATAGGAAGTGACTGCTCAGCAAGTGCGTGTCCCATCGACGCAAATAAATAGTAGTCAGACGAACCAAGTCAAGTAAGTAAGCCACATGTGCATGTATTTCCCAAATGAATGCCTCAATCGTTTCCTTGACCGTTTTGCTTTGTGAGATGACGCATTGTATCATGAAGCAAAATCAGTTTGCGTTGCCTTTCTTGATATTCTGGTCATTTTCAATAATTTTATGCTTGATTAAAATCAATCATTTGTTGTCAGCAGCTTTCAATATTAACGGTTTCACCAGCTCATTATAGATTGCATTCTTCTAATCCCACCAAACACAGAGAATTGCCTTCTTTCTATAGTGATTTGGGCTTGCAATCGATTTTGATGGTTTGCCTGGAGTTACCCACAATCTTTTATGCTTAGGATTCTTAAAATAAATCTATTTTCCATCACCTGTGACAATCTGATGGAGAAATGACTTTCTTATGTATTTGGCAAGTAGCACTTTGCAAGTTGTTTTTCGGTTTCCAAACTGTCTTTCATTCAATCCATATAAAACCCATTTTCCCATGGCTTTCAAGCGTATGTAGGCAGATAGGCAGACTCTCATATTACACTTAACATAAGATAACATTAGTGGTGCTTCCTTCTTAAAAAAAAAAAAAAAAAAAAAAAAAAAAAAAAAAAAGGAGGAAAAGAACTTATGTAATATTGCCTATTACTCTTCTACCATCTGAACTTTTCAAACAAAGATTTTAAATGATTATTCCCATGTAAGGTAAATAGTAAATAAGTAGATAAGATCCCAAACTGCCACCAAATATATAGTATTAGTAAAAGATCCCATCTCTAAATTCAGGGGGTCGGTTGAATCGTTAAAACATCCCAATTGGATGAAGAGCCGATTCAATCCCTCCCAAACCACCAAATGCAAACTCTTATCCAAACAAGGGTGCGATGGTGAGTCTGAAAAATAAATTAAATAAGGAGGACAGTTTTCCTTAAACCAAGTGGTATATATAGATTTGATATCTATATTCCAAAATACAGCTGTGAGAGGGAATTCCCTGCATAGTTTCTTTTACCCCCCCCCCAAAAAAAGAACTCGCAGGGCGTCTCATTGCTTGTTTCTTGTGGTTTCAAATTCACCTTACCTGTAGGTGTTTAGCATACATTAGGAACCCTATTATGCCAGACAGCCCTTTATATAGAAGGGCTTGATCGAAGTTGATGTAGGGAAACCCAAGGAATTAGTTTCTATGGACAGAAAACACCGGACATCGTCCCAGGAAGTGAATAGGTGTTTCCTCCTCTTCTTCTTCTCCACAAGCTGGGCAGGCAGGAGATTCGACAAGACCACGTTTGATGAGATGCTTGGCCAGATAAGCATATCCAGTAACAATTTGAATTACCTGGTGTTAGTTCTACTGAGATGTATGAGTTTACTCATATTACACTTAACTGATCTGCGAATTCTTGCTGGATTTGAGTGTCATCCTAATCCAGGAATGCTTGCAATTAACTGTCTTCAAACTCGTTTGGCAGTCTTCCCCATTTTTCGTTTCTCACGTCAATATTGCTACTTTTGAATTTCTTAAACCACTCAAAAGCACTGTAATTTACGAACAGCATGCCCACTGCAAGCTTCGACAAGCATTCAATGTGATTTTGCAGCATTTTTCTGTAAACGGTAACAGAAAATTTATGCTGTCCGCAAATTGTCATTTGTAGGCACAAAACTCGATATGTTCAACGCTATTAAAAGCTATGCTGTTATATGAAACTTATATTGTTGCGAGTTAAAAATCTTTGTGAGCTGATTAAGAAATAAAATGGCGCCAATGATGCAGTTTGAAGGTAACTATTGACAGCTATTGCAGGTTTCACATGGAAGGTCACCTGGTCCATATGGAAGTTTTATCAAATGAACGTGCAAAATCTTTGTTGCTGATGCATCATTTGAAAACCAATTATGAAAAAAATCTTTCCCTTAATTAATTTTGTCACTTAATACATATAATGGAAATGTAATTGAAAGATTTAAAAATAACATTTAATGCTGTACTATTACCATTTGGTGAACAACCTGTTAAAAAAATAACAATCTCTTCTCAAACAATACACTTTCTAGAAGAAACAAGGATATGTCTGATGACTTTTGAATAGACAGTAAATGAGAATAAAAATGTCTTTTTTATACATGCTGATGAGTGAGTTTCATGGCGAAGTGCAGATTGCAATTTTATTGAGGAAGCATTTTCAATAAAAGACACAAATTATTACCAATAAAATAGCTACAAATGCTTTTTCCGCCTTTATTAGCACATAATGTTAAAAACGTTTTAACAACTAAATTAATGAAATAGGATATTGAAAATATACAAATCTAACTATATCTGACAGCAGTGCTGTTTTAGATTTCACAAAATTTTAAAATTCATCAGAAGTTTACTACTGGCAGTCATCATGAAGTTTACCATTGACAATAAAAAATCCCATATTAACCTTTTTTCATTTTTGGATACTCTATAGAATATTAACAGTTAATTTTCTTCCTATTATGCATGTCTTGATGAGCTGATTTATACATACAGATGCTTCTCACTTTTAAGAAATTTCACAGATAAAGGAAAAAAAAAAAAAAACCTGTAAAAAGAGTTTGAAGCCTCATTTTTTTTAAAAAGCAAGACCCTAATTCGGAGAAAATTTCCGATAAATAAAGTCTGCTGTGCACAAAGTCATACTTTACTATCATCTTATTTAAGATGAAAGAAAGAAAACCTATTCAGACAAATTTAAACACTTGTTTTCTTACGAAAGACATAAGAAATTGGCACTGCTAGCCCCAAAATCCATCTGCCATCAACATACCAACTCTTTTCACCTGCCATACAGTGTCCTTTTTGCAAATTTATTTGTTCATGAATTTTTCAGATTGTCAGTCAAATGTTGGCTTACCCCACCTATGTGAAGATTTACTAATCTCATCCTCATCCCATCGATACATGCCAAGACGACAATCCAAGAAATATGCCATACAGTAAATTCTTTATTCAATAAAATTTTTTATTTGCAGTGACCACACAGTATTTAAAATACATCACTCATTTGTTTTCGTATTCTTAACTATTTATTTGTAGTATTCAGTAGCCTTTAGGAAATATGCGTAGTGAATCTAGTAACATTTTGTGAACAAATTGGTGATATGTTTGGTTCTTTGGAATGTAATTCATTCACAAGATGAGAAGCATCTGCATATATATATACACACACACATTGGGAAAACTGAAAATTGGAAGATATTTTTTGTTAAGCTGATGTTAATTTTCCAAAAGATAATTCATACCTGTAAGTTAGAGCAAGTGTGAAGGCCGTGACTGCTTCTTCATAGCGTTCTTCTTTGTATGCCTCAGTTCCTTCATTCAAGAGTAATTCGCTTTCCTAAAAATGAAAAACAAGTGGATGAACGAATATTTACACATGCCAGATAATGAAAGATGAATCCAAATAAAATGAAACTAAAAATATAACCCTAGTTTTAAAATGGTTTTTAATAATATACTTGAACATGATCTTCTCATATGTTTACAAATAATTTAAAACTCAGAGTAACTTGACCAAAATATAGCTATGAAAAACTTGGAACAATGATAAGTGATATTACTGTGATGAGCGAATAAGCAGAAATTTTTTGTTTGTAGAATATTTATAGCAAAGACTGAAATAATAACTGTATTACATTTCAGGACAGCCATACACTTATGACGGAACCTGACAAGCAAACATATAGCACACAAAATTTCTTCTGATGGGCTAGAAGCCATTCATGCATCTCTGACTGAATCTCATCATTCACTCAGAAGTGCACCCAACACTCATCTCCAGCGAAGAAATGCTTCACCATGAATCTCACGCTAAAGGAGATTTTAGCAAGCATCAAGACTTCTTTCATTAACTCATTGACAATGGCATGTTGCTGAACTAAAAACCTTTCACAGAAGGGTGTGTCATATATGCATCAGACCCAAATGTCGCTAGCAGCTGGGTGATGCACTAGTGCATCGCCATTTACATTGATCTTCCAGATGGGTGATGCAAATATGCATTCTCAAACATACACATTCTTTTAGAATTATTTTAAATAATTAGATGGCACTCCATGTCCACTATAGTTAGCTTTTTTGAACATATACATTGTTGGTCTTGTGTCTACGAACTACTTTCTGAATCTGGCAATTTGTTTTGATGACATAAGTAAACAAAACCCAGCTAACGTGTAGTTGACTTCACGTGACATAAAGCATTGAACAGTTTCCGATGCTTCCATTTTTTTTTTTTTTTTTTAAATCCCATGGAAAGATTGGGAGTGGGGCTGTGGTTTTAGGAACTCTAGTTTGTATTCAGCTTGCATCTTCTTTAGATAGCAGATGCAAGTTTTTTGCATTGGGTAATAGAGTTAAACGAATAGTGCGATGTCAAAGAGAAAGAAGTTTTTAATGGAAGAATAGCATATTTTAATTGTAAAGCCCACGAGTGTTCATTTAAGCCCATGAGTGACTATTTTGACACCAAACACTCTAGATTTAAGTGAGCATAGCAGTTTTGATACTGAAATTTTCTCAGACTGAATTGGAAGTTTGTTTTGCTTTCACCTCATAATCCAGCAGAACAAAGATTACTCCATCATGAACTTGATATGTTAAGTAATTGAAGCCTTATGAAATTACAGGAACTGCAGAAGTAAACTTTAATTCAATGTCAAGTTATGAAAATGAAACTGATTTTTTCACCATTTTTTCTCGATAAGCTAATGAACATAATAGTTGAAGAAACTAATAATTTCTATGAACAAAAGATGAGTGAAAATCCATCTTCATTCACAATCAACATACTCTTCTAAATGTGTCTAAAATGAGGGGATTCCTAGGATTAATTAAAGCTGGGCTGGAATAATTAATAGGTTTGACCTGAAAATGTGTTTCATAAATAATGAAATTACAGCAATTAGATGTACACACTGTCTCCTTTCTGAATCATTTATGCTATAATATTAGATCATATATTTCATTATTTTTTACGTATGTTTAGATAGAGATTTAAGTAAGTTTTTTGCAACAGTTCATCAAGATGAGTCAAATATTTCATTCTGCATTTTGATTTTGATTAAATTTTTTCAGATATTCTGTATTTATGATTATATTAGTGTTAGATACTATTACCAAAAAAAAAAAAAAATTATTTGTAATGAATATTTTTTTTAAGTTAGGCCTAGAGACGTGATATATCTCGTTTTGCAAGATTGTATTACTGCAAAAACACACCGTCTCCAAAGTGAGTTAAGGTAAGCACATGCCCTCTTGCAAGAGGATTAATTGCTGATGCATATAGGGATACACCTGTCCTGAAGGGGTTAAAGTGTCAGGTATTTCCATATTCCATATTTTGCACACACTTTAGAGAACTTAAGCTGATTTTCTGATATCATATATTCTCCACAGTTGCCATGTTGTCATTATTGAATAGGTGGATCATTACTGAATATTAATGTTGAATCAGGTCCCTGTATAATTCATGATATCATAATCTCCACAACTGCAATGTTGTCGGCCATGACAGCCAGACTAGGAAGAGAATATTTTACCATTTTACCTTCTAGTCTTCCTCTACCTATTTGCACACTTACAAAAGATTCCCATATCTGACAGCATACTAAATACTAATCTGGTCATGAACTACTGCAAGTTTCATTCTCATTCTCCACAAAAATTTCAAAACAATTCATTACTCTTGTTGTAAACTGTTTACTATATTTTTATGCATGCCACAGGCATGTAAACACCATGCATTGGTAACCCAGTGTCAATGCCTTGCATACTTATGACAGTGATACTCTACTGGTACTATTATACTTATCTAGTGATATTCTCGAGTACTGGTTGTACAAGAAATTTTCACTGCATTTTTTACAGTTTCCTTCAGAACTAAGTAATATATAGTATTGCATGATACAAATTCATACAGACCTCTTTAAATAATTGAACCAAATAGTTGAGCCAAAATTGCACAGAGCTCAACAGTATAAAACAGACCAAAAGTTATGATGCAACTTATTTTAATTCATAGTAACTCATAGCCTTGCCTTCTATTCATAGGGTTGTTTAGGAAGGGAAAGTACTTTTGGAATGCTTCAGAAAAAAAAAAATTGCTCCAGAGGCTCTAAAAATGCTTTTCCTGGCTTCCCAACCGGCAAAAACTTTTTCTCGCTTATAACTTCCAAAATGTTGTCAAGGCCCAGTGGGAGGGTTTCAGCCTGCAACAATGGTTTTACTTGCTGTGTTCACAAGCCCAACTTCAATCATGCAAAATTAAAATTTCTACTTAACAGTATAGTAAATAAACACAAATGCAGTAAATGTCCAACATTCAAGAATATATTTTTAAAAAAATGAATCTACAAAGTACATAGAATAGCACATCACATTACAAAAGCACATATAAACCAAACAATAAAACATACCTGTATAAAACTTTATAATGGTATAAACAAAATTCTATGAATGGAACACAAAGAATCAGGATTAGGTTTTCTTTATAAAAACATTATTATCATTACTTTAGTCTAACTGACATGTTATGAATCAAATTATTCAATTTAAAAACAGTTTTGCAAGGAAGAATAATCTCACTTTTACAATTACATTATTAATTACAAGCTTATGATAAAATACATTATTGCATGTATTTTACATCCATATTTATGCATATTATCTGCACAAAAAATTCATGAGGTTTAATCTTAGATGGTGAATTTGCATTCTCTCTGTTTTGATTGAAGCATTATTAATATAGTTCTTTTTCCTGTTAACTTTATGTTTTATAATATACTTTTGAATGAAAAAATTTAAAGTCCCATAAAAGGATATATTATATTTCATCATAAATTTATAAAAATTGCATTTCAAAATGAAATGTTGAGAAAAAATTTACATAAAACTTTTACCTATTTTTATAATTTATTCAATTTCTCCCATTTTGCACTATACTATATATTTCATTCCAAATAATTGTAAATATTAATTTTTAAAGTCTGATGGTTTCTGAGATTTAAAAAAAAATGAAATGATGAACAGCAAGTGCTAATCTATCTATAAGAAAAAGAGGGAAAGAAATAGGACTTATAAAAAGAGGAGAAGACTTCAATATCAAACTTAATTTCATTGCAAATTATTCTTTCTAGCAAGCAGAGAGAAATATACAAAATCAATATGAGAGAAATAGTATAACATAAAATGAGATCACATCTTAACACAATCATCTGATGCTAAGGAAGACGCAAAACTTCCCTCTCTGCTTAAAGTCATATGCAGCATTTTAAAAAAAATGTAGAAAATTGTACAAGCAGTATTTTTTATTGTTCTTGTTTTAGAAGGTTTGTTTTATAATTTGCAACACTTTGTGAAAAAAAAAATGTTTCAATACTAAGTTTTAAAAATCTAAATCAAATTTTGGAAATGTCCACTTCAGAACAGCTATTGTCATCCACAAAGAGTGTGCATGAAAAATGTAAGCTTGATAGCTTTTCAGGAAATAGCTTTAAAATTAATGACAATATTTTGATAACAGCTGCAACAAACTAGACCAAACTAAATAGAAGTTTATAATAAAATATTCTAAATTGAAATGCTAAGCTAAAACAACATTTAACAAGAAGTAAAAAATACGAGCTTTTGCAAAAACTTATCTCCTTCTTCAACCGGAATCCATTTCATCTTCAGCTGATGAAGCAGACAGATCATCTGCAAAAGCCCCTTTTTTAAATTCATGATTTTAGCATGTAAATCTTGATCATATTACTTTTAACACATCCAACCTAACAGTTCTTAAAAACTATAATGAAAATGTTTCATTCTTTACAGCATCACATTAAATTATTTTATAAAAGAGAATTGCATAAGGAAGTTAATGGGTAGGGTAAACAGATTTTGTAAAAGGATATGTTATAAAGTTAAAACAAAAGAATAAAAATTTTCTTACAGGAGCACTTTGTAATTGCTTCACAAGTTCTTTCACAGCAGTCTTTAAGCTCATCTTTATACTAAGTTTTCTCACTAGAAAATATTTTTTTTTTCCATGATATATTTATTCAATGCATAATTTTCTCCAGACAAACATTTTTCTTCTAATTCATAAGCTAAATAACTGGAAGAACTTACCAATTAATAATATAACAATAAAATAAAACTTTACATTCTCTTCATCAACATCTTCAAAATTCTTCCTACAAAATTGATAGCAAGAAAATTTAACATTCTCAACACCAGTTTTTAAGCAGTATAAAACATACGAAAAAGTTTTATTGGTGTAAATTAAAAAATAAAATTATAGCCTATTATTAAAACGTCCATTAACAAAGATATCAAATGTATTTTTAGCAACTCTTCTGCAAGATATGAAAAGAGAAATAGAAAATGAGGTGCACAATATTTTGGTAAAAGGCCAATTTTTTTTATTTTAAGAAAATTGACTTTTAATAATTCTCACATTTTCAAAAAATACCACTCAAGCTGCCAATAGTTTAGCTGTAATGAAAGAATCTGAAAATAATATGTTATATTCATGAAAGATTTCAATACGATTTCTAAAAACCTTCTTATATCATACAGAATCAAGAACTATATTCAGCATATTATTCTTTTCCTCAACATCATCTAATTACTAACATGCATATAAAATATGTAAAAGAATATATACATTAATATTTTTTCACTCTTTGAAGGCACAAACAATAGTTATTAAAACTGGTTATATTTCCAATATTTTTAATGCTTTTCGAGGAATGTACAAATCACCTCATTTAGCAAGACACGTGTGTCACAAAAATTTTAATTCTTTCAGTTCAAATCTCTGCACTATGTTCCAGCTGTTACAAATTTCAATTTCTCACAAATCTTTAAAGCTTACTTTTCATTATACTAACAACAAAATAATGCAAAATATATATCTCATCAAGCTCTAACTCAACAGCATATACATCTTTAAAACATCTTTAGAAAACTGCTTTCATTAATTCCAAATAGCACTTTTAAATTAAATTTCAGAGTTTTAATTCTTATGAATATAATATTTGAAATTTAATTTTTACATCCAAACAAAAATTAAAAAATTACTAATTTACTATGTTAGAATGCAAAATTTTAAAACTACATATTTCAGTGATATCTGATAACTTAATTAAGAAACCTAAATTTTTTACCTTTGTAGATACTCTTAAATTTTAAAGTCTCAACATGGGATGAAAAAACAAGTTTACCTTATCTACTTACACCATTATACAATACAGTTAAAAACAAGTAAATAAATTTAGATATGTTTCACTTAAGGAAACATATACTGCTGGCAATTAAAAAATTGCACCAGGAAGGAAAGCAAATTGCAATCTTATTTATTGTATATATACAGTATAATGGGAAGAAGACAGTCGGAATCTCTGACAGCAACAATGGATGCAATTCATTTTGGGCATTGGGTCAAACTCGGCTTGGATGACAGATACTTCATTCCATGCTGCGCCAACTACATACCAGAGTCCATCAGTTGTTGTGGTTGGCAAGTGATGGCATGCCAGTCTCTGGGCAACTTATGGCCGGATATTTTTAATGGATAAGAGATCTAAAGAACCTGCTGGCAGGGCAGCTGTCGAATGCCCTCTGTATTGTGGAAGGTCAGTACAGCACGGGCAACATGTAGTTGTGCATTATCTTGTTTAAAGATGGCATCACACAAGCCTCGAAAATAGAGCACAACCACAAATCTTAAAACAAGAAATAAAACTGCTGCTGTCCACATTACTGGCTATGCCCACAAAAGGTGACCAGGATGTGTATGCAATGGCATGCCTTACCAGCATGCCAGGTATAAGCTGGCTACAGCCCACCGTGATTTTATATGCAGAACCGGGATTTATCTGAAAAAATGACATGGTGCCATTTATGTGTTTACTATTGTCTTCTGTTGAATCACTGTCCGAGCACCTATTTCTGCTGCAACAACGGTTTCTATGTTGTAGACATAGTTGCATTGTCCATGCGAACACTAGTAGACTTGTACACAAGCTAAGTTCCTGACTCAGGGAAAGTGAAATGGCTGTAGAATTTTCCAAGGAAAGGGGACAAATTTTGTTTGAAGAGAAATTCTGGGAACAAGTATAAACTCAAATTGAAAGCAATTTTGATTTTTCATGCACTACCAGAAGCCAAAACAAATCCTGACATAAAGACCTAAAGATGTCTAGCAGACATAAATAGATTCAACATAAAAACATATTTTAAAAATGAAAAACTTTTTCACTCATTACAGATACACAGCAATCCATAGGAAAAAAAAAAAGGCAAACCTGTACTTACCTGGGTGGTGTACGAAAAAATGATATCATATCGAAGAATGCTGAAGGGTGTATTTAGTGCAAAAGAAAAAAAATGAATGAGGCCTATTCATTTCTCAACATTTATATTTACATCACAGCACAGTACAGTAAAATTACACACTTCAAAAATACTACTCTTATCATACTGGGAGGCTTTTCATTGTCCCAAAATATTAAGACATTTTAATACAGCAACATCCCAAAAAGAATTAGAAAATATTTTTTTTTACTCGATAGCAAATGCCATTTGTCTGCTTTACAAAATTAACTTCATGTACAACATAAAAATATCAAGACATTCTACATCATTTTGCAGTCTTCACCAAAAAATAACATAATTAAATTACATTAAAATTCAAGAATGTAATAAATAATGCTTAAAAATCTTTTACTAGAGTATGTTTACTAAACAGTTCAAAAACTAATAATATCAATTTCTTATAAATTCACTTGAACTTAGCTTGTTCAGTGCCGCCTTCTCTGGAAGTTTATGAAGCACTGAGCAAGTTCAACACAGGTTGAATGACCAATGTTCATACATTTCCACCACTTGACTACGGTGTAAAAGTTTAAGAACATTTCTTCAAGATAAAAATACTGGCATCAGGGGGTTATCAGCCATTTATTTTTCTCAATTTCTTCCCATTAATCAGACTTCCATTGGCAATTCTTAAGAAAAATTGCAGCATACTACAATTTACTCCCATATGATTAAGAAATAGTTATATAGAACTTACATATTTTTAAAAAATCTGAATTACAATCTACAATTGCTATTTTATATGCAGTTTATTAAATAAAGCCTAATATCTGGTCCTATAAAAGTCTGATCTCTCTCTCTCTCTCTCTATATATATATATACGAAATAATAAAAGTACAAGGAAAAGCCGGAGCAGTGTTGATGCATGCTTAGATCCATATTGAAGAATTTTGATTGCGTAGTATGCTAATAATGTTAACTTGGTAATATCTAAGAACTTGGCAGTCTAGGCAGTTTTAATTCCATTTTTATTTGCAATTGATGTTTGCAGCCACAATCACTAGGCACTCTAGTCGTGCCTTTCCACAGAAGATTTACATTTTTGATATTGTTGAGATAGAAAGCGAGGCAGCGAAATTACGTCTTAGCACAGTAGAGAGCAAAGCTGAAGTACGTAGTTATGCAAGATAGAAGCACACGAAGAGAAAAGTTTTGATTTGCAATTTGGTGATTGGTCAAGAGGCATCTGCATTAAGGGTTACGTAAGATCGCGTGATTAATTTGAATGACGCAGTTTAGACTTTAGCGCTATTTTTAGGACAGATAGATGAAGTTCCCAAATGAAATAGAAAATAAAAGAGGTTATAGTGAATTAAATTTAGAAGTTTGCTTTCATATTTTTTATCTTACACATATATATATTGGGTCATATAAAATATCTCTGCGGTTTTTTGCTACTAGATGATGTTGATGCCTATATATCTGGCAACACTCGCCCGATTGTCTCAAATGAACATGTGCTTTAAAGGTGGCATCCAGCTTCCATTGTTTGTGAAGACAATTGTCTAATTCACTGCTTATGTAAAACGTTATATTGATTTGAAAATGAGTGAAATATCTCAAGAAATACGCTATGTGATGCTATTTTACCATCAAAAAGGTCAACACACTGCAAAAACAGGCCAAAACATTCGTGAAGTGTGCGATGAGAATACAGTGAGTGAACGAAGGACTCGGGAGTAGTTTGCTCGATACTGTTCTGGAAATTTCAAAGATGCAACGTGCTCTGGTTGGCCAGTCACTGAACAAGTCAATGAAATTTTGCAACTGGTGGAGCAAGACTGGCATGCAAGCTGTCAGGAAAAAGCAGAGGCTGTAAATATCAATCGCATGACAGAAAAATGGGTGAAATACAAGAATATCAAATCCAAGCGATCACGGTCAAAGGCTGGCAACTCTAGACAAATGATTTCAAAGCCTGGATTGTCGCCATACAAGGTTATTTTGAATGTTTAGTGGGATTGGAAAGGAACTGTCCATTATCAGCTGCAACCTGGCAAAACCACCAATTTGGCCCTGTACTGTGCACTGTATGACGTTTGAACGAAGCAATGCAGAAACAGCGACCAGAATTGTCCAAAAGAAAGGGAGTTGTGTTCCATCATGACAATGCATGGCCACACACATCTTTGATGACTTGGAACAAATTGACAGAACTTGGTTTTGGTGCACTCAAAGTAAGCTCAGACTTTGCACTGTCTGACTACCATTTGCTTCGGTCTCCACAAAACTCTCGATAGTAAAAAACGGCCGACCAAAGCCCCGCTAAAAATCACTTGGCCAAATTTTCTTACAATAAACCACAGAAGTTCTACACCGATGGAATTATGAAGCTACCTGAAAAATGGCAAAGGTCATAGATAATAATGGTCAATATGTACTATTTGATTACAACTGTTTTTCAATAAAGAACATTTTGTTCAAAAATATACAAAAAAACCACACAGACTTTTTATACGGCCCAATATATGCATGTAAGTTAAAAAATATGTAAAACAGCTTTATAATTTAATAATTCTCTCTTAATTCGTCATTTTTAATTTGGGTATTCCATTTCTCGATTTTCAGAATAATAACATTTCTGGACTGTGCCATTTCTAGATTAATCTTTTGCATAATGCCAATGATGCAGTTATTTCATAGCCTAAACTCTAAGAACTGAAACCTTTCCAACGTAAACCAAAACCTTCCTCTTTGTTGAACTGCCATTTTGGATAAATGTGCACTACATTTGTATCTCCATTGCTGCTTGGATGCCATTTCATTTTGCTGTGCTTTCATCTCCATTGCTGCTTGGATGCCATTTCATTTTGCTGTGCTCTCCTATTGCAATAGTATTAAAAAAATGTAAATGTTCTGAAATCAGGCATGATTAGAGTGCCAGGTGAATTTTGGTCACAAATGTGAGTTTAAATAAAAATAGAATTTAATTTGCCTCGAGTGACAAGTTTCTATTCATTACGGAATAGTATTCTACTGAATCAAAATTCTTCCTCTTCAATATGGCATCTACGTGCTTTGCCGGTACACTGATTTTGTTTGGAGAAGTCATGTCAAATAATCATCAAAGTTATTCTATTATTATTATTATTATTATTATGTTATTGCATTGAATTTGCAATAAGAAATTTACTTCAATTACGCACAAACTGTGTGTGTTATAATTTCGGAATCTTTCATAACAGTCAAGAGCTCTGTGGAACTACTTTCGTCAAAAATTTTGAAAAACCTTTCACTAGACATTTTTCGGCTATTTTAAAAACAGAGCTTTAAGAATTCTCAAATTTACATGTATTTGTCCAATTTATTGTCCACTTTACTTTTATTTAGAAAATATATTTTGTTATGTAATAGTTTTAAAATTAGATTTTCAAGTATTTTCTAATTTACATATAAGAGAACTCATGAATAATAATCGGGCATAGTAAACCTACAAGCTTATGTCCTTGATGACTTACACACTGTAAATAATGTAATTAAACAATGTAATTAATAACTTATACGCTATAAATATTGTAAAAGCTTCTTCTTGCTTCGCTAACATACTAATGCTTTCTTCTAAAAAGGCTTTTCTGTTAGCAAGACTTTTTTCTTTGAAAAAGGGGGTACGCAAGATAAAAATATGTAAATCAGTTTTTAATTTAGTAATAGTCTCTTTATTTTCTCTTTTTTAATTTGGGTAAGTCATTTTTAATTTGAGTATCTCGTCTCTCTATTCTACGAATGATAATAAAATTTCTGAACTGTGCCATTTCTAGATTAATCTATGCCACAAAATTTGTGAAACGCTAATCATGTAATTATTTCGGAACCTAAACTCTGAGAACTGAAACCTTTCTAACGTAAACCAAAACCTTACTCTTTGGTGAGCTGCCATATTCGATAAATGCACAGTAAGTACACTTGTGTCTTTGTTGCTGCTTGGATGCCATTTTATTTTGCTATGCTCTCTTCCTATCACAATAGTATTAAAAAATGTAAATGTTCTTAAATCAGGCACAATTAGAGTGCCACGTGAATTATGGTCACAAATGCGAGTTTAAATAAAAAATAGAATTTAATCTGCCTTGACTGCCAAGTTTCCTATTCATTATGGATTAGCATTCTACGCAATCAAAAATCTCCCTCCACAATATGCCATCTACGTACTTCGTCATGAGAATTTCTGTGTTTCTACCTCTCACTGTTCCAACATCAGTACTTCTCAGTTTTGTTTACATATATATATATATACACACACACGTTTTTTGTTTTGTAAGATTAGCTTGAGAAGGAAATCTCAAAATCATAATGTATAGATATGCCTCTGTATATTCATGTTGAAATATATGTTCAACACTAACAAATGAAAAAAAAATTACCGCAAAATGGAGTGAAAATACAACATGTTTTTTTCGGTTAATTTCTCACTACAGCGTAAAAGGTTCAATAAGCTCTGGAGAACTGGATCATTGCACACAGGCTTAGATTCTGCATGGAATAATGCTCCTGCACAGCAAATCTAGGATAATGCAAGAACTGTGTTAAACAAAAGTATATTTATTATATAAAAATAGCAAAAAATAAAATTTAAAAAAAATCTGAAAGTTTTTCAGATTTTATATTACGCCCAGAGGGACTTTTTTAGCGTTTTGTGTGTTACCTTTATTTATTAAATACCGTGTTCTTTGCACTTAAAACATAAACTGAATTCAATAGCAATATTGCAAAATAATTTTAAAATGAGCATATCTTTAGAATTTCTGATACACAGTTCCGCATGCTGGAGATATAAGGGTTTTTTTCCCGTAGAGTGTTGCCATCGTTCGCTTTTAAATCGTTGAGTTTGTTAATAAAAAATTCGTTAAAGTGTCACAAAATATGAAATCAATAATAAATAAATTTCCAATTCCAAATTAGGGCTTCCAGATGCCCATTTTGGGTGGAAGATTACAATATTCAAAATTTGATGGCTCTAGGTACCGTTGTTTTATCACAATGTGAGAAACATATATACATTTATGCAAATTCTTCATTATTTAATTTCTTTAAATATAACACAGGGTGATAATGTTTGGTGACAAAAGTTTGAAAAGTGAATCCATATTTACAGTGAATTGCAAAATGCTAAAACGAAATTAATAGCCTTTCTGGGTTAATAATAAATCTTTCTCATAGAACATAGTTCTTCGACTCTTTACAACTCATTGGAAAAACTCCCAATTTTGTCAAAAAGAAACAAAATAGTGCATAAATTTACATAATTAGACTATTTATATATGAGCATGATATCTGCTTCCACCCTTGTCTTTTATACATTTTACATTACTAATTTTCTACATCACTACCACAGTTTTGAAAATTACATTTAGGATTTAGCTCTGATGCAAGTACATAAATAAAAGGTGCAACAGAATTGATTCACAACATTAGGGGGCTATATATGAGTAATGATGTCATTGAAATTTGTAACCAATCATGGATAGATATTTCTTTCCTGCATGGACTATGTGGTACGGTTACTTAAATGCATTAAGAATTAGCATCTCTCAACAAAGGCAAGCAAAAAAGATTTATTTATTCATAAAAATGGTTGACAGTTCCATAGAAATGCCTTTGCTTCTTGTGTCCATTTCTTTCTCATTTATAATATGAATCAAACTTTTTTAGCATGCTTCCAACAGCAAGGTCTCCCTAATACAGGTAAATAATACTGCAGAAAAAGGTGGACTAGTTAGTTGGCAACAAATGCACCTGTCCACTGGTGTCACCACTTATAGAAGTCTGAAGAAAACAGGAACCAAATAAATCACTACTAGATCATGTTGCAAAAGAGACTTTCCTTTCAATATACCTTAATCTGGATATCAATTTTTTGGAATACGGATAACCTACACCAGGAATTCTATAGGATACAATAATAAAAAAGGAAGAAATTAATCAAGCCATTCATTCCCGTTGCAACTGCTAAAGCAGACAGGTCGTCTGAGCAGGTTCCTATTTCACTAATGTTTCAATGATTTCATTATGTCAACCTAGAATGTTTTATTTGTTTTTACTTTATTTTAACCACAGTGCCTCTTAGTTCTTTCATATGGTAAAGGCAGTGCTCTCAGACTCAAACTGCAAGTGGGTCAAATGCACAATCTAAAACCATCTGACAGGTTAGCTTTTTTTAAAAAAAAAGACAAAATGAAAAATTTTTATCAACAAAATAAAAAATATTTAACTAAATTTTAAATTTGGCTTATATAATATTTATCAAAGCATACATAAACAACAATAATAACATTGAAAGGGAAAAAAATAATTTATATATATATTCTCACTGAAATCTAAAATTGGATACCTGATGGTCATTTTTGTTGGTTACACTTTGCAATTCAAATATACTGATGGCCAAATAATAAATTTTCAAACTGATATTTATTTTAAATAGTTCTAATATGTTTAATTAATCATTAATTTAACATTAAATAATTTACTTTAAACTAAAATAAACGCATCAGAAAAACTTTGTAGATGCTCATCAGGCTATTGAGTTATTTTCTTAGCTAATTTTCAATCGTGAAGAATAGCAGTTCATATAAATGCATTCCCAAACAAAGCCATTATATTTACTGCACAGATCTGTAACTGAGCATACTTATTTATTTAACAAATGAAAATTAATGAAATCAGTATCATCAAATCTTTGAATATTTATGTAATTGTAATTAACCCTTTGATGGTTATGAACGAGTTCAGCTCGCAATCGAATCGTGCTTCATAATGCGCGCAAACGAGTTCCGCTCGGGAGCAAGATTTTGACCGAAATGGTTAGTAACGAGCACTACTCGCGTAGTGAAATTTTTCCCCAATGCGCGCTGACGAGCTAAGCTCGTTCGCCATTATTATTCTGCACTGATTGTGTTTACAAACGGAATTCTACTCCGCGAAATTTAAGTTAGTTTTACTGTCTACAGATGGTAGTACGAGGTCCCATGAATATCTTTTCATAATAACCTTCCCCCTTTATTATGAATTTCTTTTCATAATAAAGGTGGGAATTTTTTTTTTTGACCTTGTTCATTTTTATGCGTATTTTGGCGCGGTTTTTTTAGGGTGTTTGTACAGTAAAATGGCTCAAAAAGCGAAAGTTAGATAGGTTATGATGGTGATTATGATTGTGATACAGAAAGCTTATCAAGTTTTGACTCTGATGAAGACTTTGTTCACAGTATTTCAAGCTCAGGAGAGACGATTTAAGCGATGAGGAAGATTTTCGAGTGTTCGACAGTGGTGTATAATTGATTCAAGTTCTCACGCTCCTAGCCGATTTAGTTTTACTGGTGATGTAGGCATGAAAGCTTGCGTGACAAATATTTCTGAAATTCTCTATTAGAAAGAACCTACTAGACGATGTGTGGAATGTTGCAGCAAAAATGATGCTAATGGAAAAAGAATTCGCCGTGAAACACGTACGTATTGCAAAGACTGTAATGCCCCATTATGTGCAATTCCATGTTTTAAAGTATATCACACACAAAAAGATTTTTAGGAAATTACTGTATTTATGCTGTGCTTCATAAAGTTTTACATTAGTTGTATTTATTTAGTCCTTTCAATTTAATATTTGTCTTATATTTATAATTAACTATTATTATTTATATAATTGGTTATAATCATTTATAATTTACTGTTTAATAATTATTTTAAAGTACGTAAAAACTGTTATTTATGTACTACAAATACTTTAAGAAATTTTTAAAATGCGCGAGGCGAGCTATCTACGGCATCGCCAGAGAAAGGTGACATTTTCGGAAGAACGGCGGGGGAAAACAGCTGCCACTTTTGACTACTGTTTACTACTAATGCTGCGCGAATTAAGTAAACGGAAACTGCTCATTTCCATAACCGTCAAAGGGTTAACATATTTATGTACTTGTAATCAATCACAATGTAAATTAATCAGTTTCATTTATAGATTTTCAGGGGCATTATTCATGTTTCTTTTTAATGTTAATGAAAGTAATGCAAATTCAGATTTCAAGTAACTAAAATCTTGAAATCATTGCAACAATACATAACTGGAATGCATATGCGGGCCACATAAAACTGCATCGGTGTCCACCAGTTCGGAGATGAATAGGATAAGGTACGATTACTGATAACAAAGTTCACCTTATCACTGGATTGTAACTAATCTGATTACAGTCAAAGGTCTTTAATCCAAACCTCAAAGCTACAAACTTTCTGCACATGTGTAAACGCATAATGCGTACACCCATGCGCGTTTAATGTATAACGGACGGTATTAGCTAAGCTAAAATTATCTAATTATCTATTTCAGTTAATGTTGCAGATTGCGTTGTTCCTTACTCTTCTAACTGGATCCAGCTTATTATTTTTTCCAGACTGTTAGAGCAATTTTATAAAAGTAAGCTTGAACTTTTGATTATATCAAAAAGAATTTTCAATTCTGGAGCCGCCAAAGGATCTACAAAGCGAAAGCATGTTTCGATGTCCATCAAACAAAAAGTGGAATTGCTGCAAAAAATGGATAAAGGCATAAGAAAGTCAAAGAGGTTTTGTTTCTCTAACCATTCCGAAATCTGTTTATCAATTTCATGCTGCTCTGCCCGGGGGGGGGGGGACATCGTCGGTGGCACTCAATGAACTGGAAGTTGATTTGTCAGCACTATCCTTATCTTCAGGGCAGATGTTTTTATTTTATTCGGCTTATAATTCCTTACTAAATGCAGTATTTCATCTCGATGTACTTCGTCTTTGATATGATTTAAATCAAATTCCTCGTCATTATAAATATCACGAATACATATCAAATAGTTTTCTGGTTGCAAATTTCTAATTTTGACTATGTGTAATGTATGCCTTACGCATGCGGGCGTTGAAAGAAATGTTTAATAAAGTAAACAAATAAATATTAAGCATTTTTTTTGTAAACTTTGATACCCTTTAGATTATAATTGCTCTTTATTTCATAAATTACGGTTTCATATTTTTAATTTTATAATTTCTGCATGCCATCTTACCAGATTTAAACTGATGATCTATAATTCGGAAAAACCAAAAATCCGGAATCGCCCGACGTGTCTGGATTAAAAACTTTTGACTGTACTACAAATGCTACTGAAACATATTAATATGGCAGTTAAAACAGGAAGGCATTAATTTGGAGACTAGTGACTGCCCACCTTGAGTTTAAACTTACAGACAGTAATGCAACATCTTGGCCACTTATATATTGTTGAAAAGTCAGAGCATGGCTTGAATGGGCTGGCATGCTCATCCATTTGATTGATCCAAATACACTGTACATATCTGCATTACTCTGACAAGATGCTTTATGACACATTCATTGGCAACTGAATAACAGCTGAATGCAGAACTTAAGGGAAATGAATAGAAACTTACAAACTTTATTCAAAGTATGTGCAAATAATGCAAAACATGCAATGTTATTTGATATTATTGAATTTCCTTACTTGGAACCTTTAATTCCTGTCCTATCTAATATTAAATTTGGCTATAATCAGTGATTTTAGATCACAGGAATTGTACAAAGACATTTTGTCTCTTCTAACAAAATATTTACATAATCTTTTATTTACTCTTGAATTGCTCTCTTCATTAGCAGTATAATTTGGGAGTACTTTATGAAAAAATTTCCTATAATGTACCTTAGTTTGTAACAGCTAATGAACACCTGACTGATCCATAAGTTTTGTATGACAGTTTAGTTTCTTCAGTAGTAAATTTTTTTATGAAACAAAATAAATGTGAAAAAATTTAAAGCACTGAGGATTTCAAGATACCCCTAAGCTAAGGGAAATAGCACAGTTAAAAAGGATTTTCAAGTGTACTATTTCCTATTCAACTTATACAAAATTAAAAAAAATAAATAAATAAATAAAATAAAATAAAAAAGGGAAAAAAAACTAAGCTGCTGAGAGATTAATTATTCAAATTAATAATGTTAATAGTCTGGCTATTAATTACTTGGAAGTTACATCAATGAATAAAAAAGTATCATTTATTAAAAAATATCCATAATATTATACAACAATATTTTTATCAAAGAGCACAGTTTCCCAAATTACGCTTATTTTATTAAAGCACTTTGATTAGTACTACTCAAAAATAAGATAATTACTATATAAAAAAATACAATCATAAAATTTCTTACCCTAGAGAAAGTACACATTGTAAAAACAACCACAGAATCAAAGCATCTTACTACATTCGTGTATTCATCTTTGCTTTCATTAAAATTAGATCTAAAAGAAAAGTTCAATTAATATCAAATATAATACTTGATTCAGAATAAAAAGGCACTTATTTACATTTTTAGCATTAATAAGCAACCATTAGCCTTTCATACCTGTCAAACTCTATAAAAGAATCATTAGCTGAATATATGAATTAAAATTAGAGCAAATAAGTAAAATATTAATCATAGCTAATCTATATAAACATATTAAAAATACACTCAATATATTAGTTAAAATAGCTTACACAAAGTAAATTCCTCAGATAATCTTGGTAATACTATAAAACATGAAATATTAATTTATAACAACAATGAAAATCAAGAGGTTTAAATTGGAAAAGATTAAACTTTAGGGTTAGGTTATTTGAATATGGCAAAGCATATGATGATTATCTGCCTAAGAAGAGAGATGCCCTTGTGGAGAACTTTCTAAGGGAAACTGGCTTATATAGCTGTCGTGTACACAGACAAAATCATGAAAATCAAAAATGCAGCTGGCATTCGCCCGAGATCAAACCCGAGTCAAATTTCAAGCATTCAGAGCTCTTAATCACTCTGGAACAGTCACAGATTGGAAATTTTTTATGAATTTGAGTTTATCTTTTAACAACTGAGGACTGAGAATTTAAGCTCTAAAAAAATTTTGAATGAAAATTGGTAAACTGCTATGCAAGACACAAGTACGGCGATCTTGCAAAGTGCCATACCTCCAAGTCTTATCATATGCTTTCTCTATGTCAAAGAACACAGATACAAGGTGGTTTCTTTTGACAAAAACTTTATGGAGAAAGGTTTCCAAAAGAACAATTTTATTGATCTTTGTTCTACTTTACAGAAACTACTCTAATATGGGGAGATTATATTGTTTTTCTCTGGGTAGTAGAATAAGCAGCAATTCACCATTTTTCCAAACAACTTGCAGACACACTAGTTAGTGTGACAGGCTAATAATTAGAGGGATTCTTCAGGTCTTTGCCTGGTTTAGCTATGGGAATGACAACACAACAACTCTCTTCTACAAATTGGGAAAGAAGTGCTTCTTCCACACTGGAATGTAAAGATAGAGAAGGGTAACCAATGACAGCTCTGGAAGATGCTTTAACATTCTATAACTGACATCATCTGGACCTGGACAAGACCTTTGGAGTCTGGAGCAAAGCTCTCTTTAGTTCAAACATAGTAAAATCACTAGTATATGGCTCCAAGTCACAAGTGTTGAAGGATATGCGAAATTTCCCTGAGAATTGCTTGACAGAAAGAAATACTAAAGGATAGTTGCTGCCACTAGAAAACAGCAGCAAAAGTCTTACCAATAACATCTACAATTCTTTCTGTGGTGCTAATTACCCAACTATCTTTTTCAAAAATAGAAAGTGCATGATCATTATACATATGACATCCTTTCCTAACTCTCTATCATACCCGCTTATTTGGAGTGTTCAAGATGTTATTGATGACACATAGTAAATGTACAAATCCCTCTGGCTATTCAACGTACTTTTCTTGCATTTGCTTTTTTGAAGGCTATGAGGTTTGACAAAGTGAGGTACCTAGGAAAAATTCCCCAAGCTTTTTTCTGTTTTATAAGGGTTTTTTGGCATTCATAGCTTCACCATGGTTTTGAATATTTTCATAACTTTCCTGATGTCACTGGTATAGAGGCTGTAGCTGCCTGTATTATGATATCAATAACAGCTTTCACTATATCAGTGATTGGCACATCTTTTACCATCTCTTCAGAGAGCTCTGCATGAGATGAGAAAAGCTTCCAGTCCACTCTCTCAAGTATAAATCAAGGAGATCTTGGCATAGGATTTGCTCCTTCTCAGGTGAGATATACCAAAATAAGAGAATTGTCGCTGTTAAAGATCATTTCCAACATGAAAAGTGCAGAAGTGTTAATGAACAGATGGCAAGATCAAGAGCATGAAAAGTCCTTGCACACTCGTGGAAGTAGGTAATCTGTCCATTATTGAAGAGACAGAAAGAGTGATCTTCAATCATTAACTCAATTTAAATCCCTCCAGGATTAGTATCCCTATTTCTCCAAAGTGTATTAAAGCCATTTAAGTCACCTATAAGAGGTGCAGGCAGTTGCTGTATTAAATTATCCAGATCCCTTTGATCAATGTGGTCATTTGGAGGCAAATAAATAGAACTGAAACCAGGGGTTCTTATATTTATTTGGATGGCAACAGCTTGGAGTTTTGTAATTAAAGGAAGTGAACTGCTTAGGTAGTCTAGTGAGGTGAGGAGCCCTACACCTCCATGGCAAGTTCACCTACAAGACTGCCTTTAATAAAAATTGACCCTAAAATAGAGCACTGGGGCTCCAGGATCGCAACACCCATCTCACCAAGAATATGATTTCTTGAAGGGCTAGGGAACCTCAGGATTTACACACCCATGCTCACATGAAAGGGGCCTCTTTTCTTATTTTTCATGGAAACCCTTAATTTCATTTGGAACACCAGCTGCAAAATATTGCTCTAGCACACAGCACATTATTACTGTTGTTACTTTACCTATTAAAAACTTATTTCTTTCTTATACCTAGTCTTCTTTAATAAAAGACACAACATTGCCCTACAACAAATGTACGTGATTTCTTTTAAAGGGTAGCAAATTCTTATGTAAATAGTATATTATGGTTAAAAAATTTAAATATTACAGAAAAGTGTTACTTTCATTTCTTCTGTACATACACTTCTTTTCTTCACTTTTCTAGTTCATCGCATTTCTGCTTTACTTCTTTTTCGAAATTATTTAGCTTTATAAAGCACTGGTTATTTTTTAATGCTTAACTTTCAGGTGTTAAATTATTTGTAGTTTTTCTACATCCTCTTTCATCCTCTTTCATCTTCCCTAATTTAATGTTTAAACCCATCACAAACATGCTTCACAGATTAAAATAAGTGGTTAAAAATAAAGTTAAAATAATAAAGGGGCTTTAAAAATGGATGTAAAAATAAGCATTGATAGAACTTTAAGCACAAAATGAGCCAAGATCTGATAGGTATACAAATTTCAAATAATAAAAATACCTTTGTGAAAACTATAAACATCAGCAATAAGAATTCAGTTACCTATATTCAGGCTTTGACATCAAATACTTTATACTATCAGGAGCTTGAGCTTTACCAAAAACAATGGGCTTTAATACACTCAATCGTGCAAACAGCAGGGCTTTCCTTTGTACTGAAATTTTTTTAAAAAAAAGGTAACGATAAGATTTAGATATAATAACAACAAAGAAATAATGAGATGGAAATGAATACAAATATGAAGAAAAAACATGCATAACTTATTAGCAAATGAGTATTTTAATTATCACTATTTAACATCTATAATGTAATGATGCCAGCATGAACATGCATAATTGGTAAAGCTTTGTGTTGCCAAGGTAAAATGTAAGATATTTATGTTTCAAATTTAACCAGAAAACTCTGATATAAAAGAAGTATGTTGTCATTCACAACATATACTTTTTTTTAACTCGATAAATTCAGCAATTTATAAGAAATTCATTGCCATGCTCAAATTGAAAAATTTTCATCTTATACCATACACAGCAGTGTTTTGTCATTCAGCAAAGCTTAAGACATTTAATTTTTCTTTGAAATTTATTCTGTTATTAATTAACATATTAAGTGATTTAAAAGCAATAAACACAGATTCATTCAAATTATTAATTACTAACTGTATCTGTGAAATTACACAAGTTGGATTCATTAAAATCATCTATATCTATAAAGAAGAGTATCTGTTTGTTTCTTCGTATGTGTGTAATTCACAAAAATCTACAGTTTCATTCCGATCTTCATCAGGGTTTTTACTTATTTAAGCACACTGAAATTAAGTACTTTTAAAGACTTTTGAGGACTATTAATGAAAAAATTAAGAACTTATCAGCAAAGGAATTTGAATAAACTAAAATAATTATCTATAGCTGAATTTCACTTTTGTGATATCATTCTAAGAATAAAATACACCTGAAAGTAGGATATGTTATTATTAAATATAATCTTATACTTAACACAATAAATATAAAACAAATTCAAGAATAAAATCAACTTTGCAAAATTTATAAGGTAATCAGCATTAAATTACTAAATTTCTCCAAAATGTACATGTAAATTATTTAAACTTTAAATAGAATCACATTAAAGAAGATTAGTGACATTTAAGTTTTAATAACAATTAGTTTTATGTTGATTCTTTCTTTTATACCTCTTTTCATAATGTACTTACTCAGACCAAAGGTTCATATAATTTTTATGTCACATGGCATAGGTTAAAATGAAAAGTAAAATAATAACCAGCATGATTTGTAATAAAAGCTTGGCTCTTGGCAACCCTGCTGTTTGCTAAGAGAGAGAGAGACAGCTGCTGATCAGAAGAGACACCTTGTTTAGTAAATCACCCTGTTCCTCCAGGGCCTCACACTGACCTTGTAGATCAGCTATTTTGGCTTCTTGTTCCATTATAGTTGAAATCGCTAACTCTATAACATCCGAAATTAGTTTTTGATCTGATTTATTTAACGTATGTTTTGCATTTTCAGGCCCAGAAATTTGAGTACAACAGAGCTGCGTCATAACTATGTGCATGCATGCAATAAAGATGGCTCAATAATTGGAGCAGATGGTACAGTGTCTGAAATAATTAATGGAAATTTAGAACAGGAAATGTGTTCATTTAAAGTAGCCATTAGAACACAGAGCTTAGATATTTTTCATAGAGTAATAAACAGTAAACAGTTATACTATGGAAAGAGCATTAAGATTGTCGAGCAAGCCTGTTACGTAATGTCCTAAAATTACTTGCAAATAACAAACAGAATCCATTAAAGAATAGATGTCATTGGCAAGACTAGTATGTACTGAAAGATAGCAGCTGTGCTTTGTCTGTCTAATCCAATTGTTAGTGTCATAGCTTCATGCAGAGTAGCTGGAGTTATAATTCACTTAATATACAGTATTTAATATAAAGTTCTAAAAAAACTGCTGAAACGACACCAGAGGTGGTTAAACTGTTTTATATTAAATCATTTGTTAGCTGTAAGGAATAAATTTATGCTAATTTTTACATTTTTGTGTTGTTTCTTACATCCACAGTAAGGATTAAAGAAAGACATCACCTTAACATGCAGACATAACTTCTAAGGGTGAGCAGTTGGCTATAAATACCTATATACATAGTTAGAATCATTACAGATTCACATGGTCATTATTACTTTATTTATTTATGAAAAATATGTGTTAAAACAGCAATACATTTTACAGTTTAAGATACAGATAATTATGCATGTAACTTATAATATTGATTCTGAAATGATGTAAGGATATATGAAACATGTATGTTTTGTAGGAACAACAAAATATTTATGTATCTTTTTAATTGAAATGTGAAAAATTTCAAGATATTTTAGCTAATTTACACCAGTTTCCTTCTTTTTAACACCTTTATTGATTAGATTAACAAATCAATGTTCCCACTAGTTTCTGCTTCGTCCCCTTTTTGAGAATTTCAAACCCTTTTTGAAAATTTCAAACGTTTTAACAACCTTTGACACATTCTCAGTAAGCTTCCTCTAAATTTTAAAATTTCAGATTAATTGAAGATTTCTGTTATTCTAAAGAATGTGTGTATTTAAAATGTATAATAGATAGAATATATAGAAATGGTACCTTGTTACGTTCTAAATCTAAAACCGTTAAATAGCCCATAATCGTTTACTCTTTAGAACACTGTCTAACTTTCCAAAATAGTGTCAAAACCTTAAAGTGAATTTAAGTGCACTCTCAATCAGTTTTGAAGAAACCATTCAAGTGGATAGCAGTTTTCTGAAATAAAGCAGATATCAGTTCTTACTAAAACCGTCACATGAAGCTGTGTTAGTTCTATTCTGTTCTACAGTTTTATTCAAGCTTTGTAAAATTTTGCACAGTTCACGTTGAACCCAAATAAATAGAAAATTACAGTCTACCCGATATTTTAAAAAAAAAAAAAAAAAAAAAAATTTTCCCTGCAAATGAAGCCTCTTAATTTTTGTACTTTAACTAGTTAATACTGCAAATTTTCGAAAAAATTTTAAACAGACACAGGAAAATAACATTGACAAATCATAGAAAAGAAATTTGTTACTTAGAAATTTTCAAAATCAAAATTTAAACAGACACTGAAAAATAATTACATTTATAAACTGTGGAAAAGAAATTTGTTACTTACGTTCATGCTTGTTTGTCCAAACCCTGTAACTCCTGTAAAAATGTAATAAAAAATAAAGTATGTATAATCTTAAAACTAAACTTTAAAAATAAATAAAAATGTTTAAAAAATTTGCTACAGAAACAACTTTTATAAGATAATCAGTTACCTGAATCAATTTCTAATTGAAGCAACCGAATGCCATTAAAGAGAGAAAAACATAACTTTTTGCAGGAAACAAAATTTTTTTAGTAGCATTCTTAGCAAAATACAATTGCCATTTAATTTTGAAACTCACTTAGCCTAAATCAGTACCACTCTCCAAAGCAGAAATACATTTGTTTTTTAATACTGCAAAATACTCTTGTTTATGTTTTGTTTAAAATCATTTTTAAGGTGGGTTTCTGCTTGAAAAACAACAAAACAAAATAATAATAATAATAAATAAATAAATAAATAAAATAAATAAATCAACAAGTACTGGGAAGGGAGCACTAGAATTAGTATTGAAGCAGATTTTCTATTTTCCATCTGTTTCCTACGAACAGCAGCTCACAGACATCCTAGGAACTGCTGCAAGGCTCTTCAATTATATTCTGATTCATATGGACTTTAATAACTGCTCCTTCATTTCAGTAGATGTCAGGGTAAATGAAAATCATTCCTTATATATTAAGACATTTCTTGAAGCAAAAATACTGCTAAAACATCATACTGTGGTACTGTGGGTCATTGTATACTAGCTAAATACTGTCTTTAATATTTCATCAGTCTTTGCCATCAGTTTTCCTCACCTTAAAACAAAAATGAACACAAATCTGCTGTTCCATTTGCTATTTCACACTTATCAATCAAGTATAGTTTGACTGTCTCAAACACAACCTTGGCCGGCATTCTGCCAAAACACATAGACTAGTCTAAAAGGGGTATTATTACTTGCTGAGACGTGAAAAGGTCATGCGAAAGTCTTCTCTTTACCGGATAGAGAGAATTCATATGCTTGAGAGAATGTCCCATCTTTCGACGACCCCATTTTGAGAATAATTCAGTCTGAATGGCACATGCATGTTTGCACTCATGGTCATGGAGGAGGCGATCGAACTATATCCTCTCAGCTACTACACATACTACTGAATCTTAAATAGTGCTAACCACTTCTGTGCAATTTCAATGATATAAAGTCGAGATGTCACATTTACTGGCATTATTACACCAGTGCCCAATGAAATCAGTTCAAGGTTTAAACAGATAGCCTATATAATCATAGACTCCAACCTTCAGCAAACCTTGTCAGTAGTCAATACGCGAACGACATTTTTACAACTTTGAAAATGTGTGCGTAGCGTATGTTGTAATTAACCATTCATTAATTTTAAATTAATAATTAATTGTAATCAATTTTATTACATTTAAAATCCATATACATATAAAACTGAATAATTAAAAATATACCTTGTAAATTATATGCACATTTAATTAGAAATTTTCTTTTAACTCCTCAAGCATTCACTAATAAAAAGTACTTCAAATCACTACTAATCATAGAAAAAATCAGAAGCTATAAATCATATCTTTATTCTGGATATGATTTCTACAGGGAAATAAAATTTAAATAACCAAGAATGATACATATAAGTATTAAACAAAAAATACGCATAATTTATGAATGCAAAGATTTATATGTAGCATGCTTAGCAAGCTTAAGTTCTGATTTTGAGAATGTTTTTTTATAACACAGTTCTTCATTTTCATTTGCCTGCATATTTATTTTTTCAATCAATCAAACTGCTTCAAGAGTTTTAAGACCTAAATTTGGTCGAAATTCCGTCTGATTTTTTTTAACAATAGAAAAAATTCTTTCGCAAGCTGCATTTGAATGAGGTATTATTAAGACAGCAAGCATTACAGAAGGCAATACTTTGTATTTAATACACCCATTCATATTTTTTAATTTGGCAATTTCTCCCCTCCCCATGCTATATCAATACGCAAATCTACAATTTCTTTCAAATCATCTACTTGATACATGGAAAATTCAATTTCTACTTGATTAAGACATTTTTCATCAATAATGGATGGAAAAGTATTCATCAAGTAAAGAACAGATGAAAATGAGACTTCAGTTCTCAAGTTGATGTCAGCAACTTCAGCATGTTTTAGAAATGGATCACTCAGTGGAAATTTATCAATTATATATGAACATGCAGTTACAAAAAAAGCTCGCACAGAATTGAAAAATGATTTCACTTCACTTTCATTCAACTTGGCATTTTTATTAGTCTTGTTTCCGCACCAATCACTAAATTTTCATTTTCTTTTTCTTTTGTTTACTATACTTCTGAAATGGAATAGACGTTAGAGTAACATCTTCATTTTCTTTAGAAATTACTGATGGTTTTACGAATCTAACAAATAAATTCATTAAAAGTTCAAAAAGTTCAAAAAGTTCTCTCTCTCAATTTATGTATATAAGGAGCTTGTTGTTGCAAATTAATATTTACTGTTATAAACAAAGGCAAAGTATTTTTCAAAAATAACAAGTACAATTTGGTGGTCGGTGACTGTAAAATTTTTTTTAATGTTTTGCAATCTCTTTCCTTCATTCTCACTGTTATCTGGTTTATCTCCAAAAAAATTTATCACAGCATCCCACTGTTCCAAAATCCTTGTTATAGATTCTAAAAGAGACAACCATCTCGTACTGCAATATTTCAAAATTTTATGAGATTTTGCATTCTGTCCCAAAATTTGTTGAGCAACTTTGAAGCTATGCTTCTGTTTCGAACTTTTCTCCAAGTAAAAATCAACATTTCTCAACATTTCTATATCTATTATCAACATTTCAATTTCTGAGCCAATTAATTTTTCAGTAGCTTTTTTTGCAGCTATATGCAAGAGGTGGCACGGACAACCTCGGGTGATTATACTTGGTTGATGCATTTTGATAAATGATGCTACACCTTTAAACTTTCCAATCATATTACTAGCATTATCTGAAGAAAATGATAAGCAATTTTTCCATTCTAAACCTTTGTTTTTAAAGTTTTCATTTATACAATTAAAAATACCTTCTCCTGTATTATTCGTGCATTCTAAAATAGAAATCAATGAAGTAATTATCACTCCCTTTTCTTTACTGTAGTATGTTATAACCAATGGGTACAGTTTGTTATCATTGTTATCATTACTTCCATCAGTACTTAGAGAAAATGATGTACTGCACACACTGATTTTATAATATCAGCAACAGTATTTTCTGCAAGCGTTTTCACAATAGCAGCAGTTTTGGTATGACCGCAGCTAAATTTTTTTTTGCTATGGCAGAATCCGGAAACATTGCTTTGAAAAGCTCTTTGGAATGATCCGAAACAGAAAGCGGTAGATTATGTTCAATTAAAAAACGAACAAAATAGCATTCGGCTTTTATAGGATCTGTTTCATCATCTTTTATTCAGAAATTTGTTATTTCTTTAGATTTTACGGTGCCAAGTTCTATATGCTTTTGAGAAAACACATGCCGTTTACAGTCATCTTTTCCGCCATGAGCAACTGAGAAGTCTTTGTTGCATACACACTGCAGTGTGCGTGATTCACAGAAATTTCGGACGCTTTAATGCATGGAAATTCTGAAGAATATGAATCTTTAAACTTCTGCTTTGATAATTTTGGCTTCTTCGTTCGAGGCAGCATTATGATTAAAAAATCTTTCACCTGATTCACAGTTCACAAGACACACGCTAAGCTCTCGCCGTAAACTACACAATGCAGCCGAATGCAGCCTAAACACGCATCAGCGAGGAACCTGGGAGACAGACAATTGGGTGGAACTATTGATAAGTCGTTAACGGTTGGAGTTACTGATCTACGATTGGCTAATTCTTCAAAACTAGGAACGCACTCAACACGTGATATATGATAACACGAGTATTCAGCCAATCATCGGATGAATTAGTTGGTTCCGTTTTGCGTACTGGTTCTCCTGCTCTTGTTTCTGTAAAATCCGTAGATTTTTCCATACTTTTCGTAGCTCGTAGTTTTTCATGAATTTCCGTAGAAACTACGGAGAATCCGTAGTAGTTGGAGTCTATGTATAATTAATACATTTTTAGTGAACTAGCAGCTTGATGGAACTACTGGAGATATGCATATTATTAAAAATTCCACAGAACATATATAACAAACATATAATAATTTGGGTATTCTGTGTCAAGGGTACAGGCAGTGATACATGGTTTTGTAAGGAGGTGAATACTATGAATAAGGCACTTTAATGATTACCTAAACGTCTGTTAGATAACCCAATGCAATGCAAAATCCTTATCCTAAAGTCAGTCTAGTCCACTGGGACTGAGAGTACCCTCTAGTCTACTTCATGTTCAATGTAGTGCCAAAAAATCTTCGATGGAAAATGCACATGGCCAAGAAAGGATGTTAACCCTCTGAGCGTTGTGACCAGGTTTAGGAGGTCAAGACGACCTACGTCAAAGGTGTTACAGATGCTTCTAGGTGGTCAATGGAAAAGTGTTCGAAAGCATTACTGACAGTTCTAGGCGGTCAGTGGGGATGACCTCGAAAGCGCTATCACCGCCTTAAAGCAGCTGTGCAGATGTCGCAGCTCCCCCCTTATTTCTGGAACCCTGGAGATCTCTAAATGACAACTCTCAGTAGGAGCCAAAGAGGGTTGCTCTTTTTCATTTTACACCGATATGTTTAATCGCTGAGAAAATGTTTGAACATACAGTGGTTTATAAACAACTAACAAATGTGGACATTCTTCGCGAAATAAATAAGTAGCATGTAAGCATGTTTTTCGAATACTCTCTTTAAACGGATAACATTTTCATAAAATATCCTTTAGTTTTTAAACTAAATGTTCAGAAATACGCGAAATGCTCATGAATTCAATGAAAAAAATGGCATCAGAAAATATTTAAACAAATTATGGATATAAAGATGCGTAATTAAAGCCAGCAAGTTAAAAATTTTAATTATTCGCACGAAACGAATAGAACTGCATTTAATTAACCTGAATCACATGTACATAATAACATTA